CCGATCTCCCTGGGCCAGACGGTAATCTCCAAACACAAGAACCTGCGCTACTACAGCTCTAAGGTCACCGAGATAACCTCCCAGATGTTCTACGAGGTCATGTTCGATGACGGCTCCTTCTCCAACGATACCTACCCCGAGGATATAGTGGTGAGAATATGTTTAATTAGCACGAGGTCGTATGCGATATTATAACCCCTCTCATTTAGAAAGGAACTTCCTTCTAGCTGAGAGGGATTATTGATCCTCACATGGTCGTTGCATGAGGGATTACCTGCAAATGTGTTTTACACTCTAACCGTAACGTGTGCATCTACCAAACCGTGAAACAGCATGGATGTCTGAAGAGGCTATTCATATTATATTATAAATATTATGGGACTGTCATGGTAGCGGCAAATAATCACTCGCATGGCCTTTTCGATGAGTTTAAATTCATTGATTTGTTCAAGTGATTATGGTAATGACTTAACACTATTAAAGAGAAGTAGCTGTGGCAGAGACACAACCACACACTTGCATGTATTACTACTGTATTAGTGAGGACATTCCACTCAATCCTCAACCTCAGCCTTAATTGACCAAGTAAATTCTTACTCTGAAACCCTGAGATGCAACATTGAATAGCATCCTATTATGATGCTGAAGAAATATTTGATCACGTTGTAGGTCCATGTTTTGAACATTACTTACCACCATGTGAATCGTTTCGTGGAAAATCTTGCTGCGTTTTAGAAAGACTGCAAGGTTTCTTTCACGGGAATAATCAAATGAATTATGGTCCCATTCTATTTAGTGTGTCACAGCCGTTTGAGTGAGCCCACCAGGACCTAAATGGAAAAGGGTCATAATTAATTATTTATTACACCTGTTATTACCCTGCGTGCTATGAATCAACCAAACAGGGAACACCAGCTAGCTCAATGAATCAAACTCGCACGCTAAGATACTAGAGCTTCTCTTCTTGGACCACAGTCCTCGCTGGCGTTTCATCAAATTTTGACATTTTGACACGCACTCTTACTTGGAACAACCATTGTTCTCCTGTGTCTTTAGAGCAGAGACTGTATGAACTCGGGTCCTCCAGAAGTGGGGGAAGCTGTTCAGGTGAAGTGGCCTGATGGGCTGTTCTACGGTGCCAAATACCTGGGATCCAACGTATCACACATGTATCAGGTACATGCTAATGTACTGCACTATAGACATACACGACAAATGGTAAATGTATGCGAAAGACATATGAGCTGTTTTTTTTTTTTTTGCAGATGTAATCATTTTTTTGGGGGTGAATGTTGAGTTATATTGCAAGCTCAGTTGAGGGTCAAAGCAGGGAACTTAAAGAACTCCGGCAACGTCGGCGCTATCGTGACTCCTCTGACGTCGTCAAAAGTCTTCTGGTCGATGTGTGGAGAGAGAGAGAGAGAGACAGTTGAGGTTGAGGGAGGTGCTGAAGTCATGTCGACTAAAGAGGAGGAGAGGGGAGGTGATGGGAGGATGAACAGAGATAGAGAAGGCAAAAGCTATGCAGACGCAGATGGGGAGAGATGGAGAGAGTGAGAAGAGGAGGAGAAGAAGGAGGTGACAATCTGCATTATTCAAGCTAAATGAAATATTCACCAAGCGAAGTCCTGCGGCTTCCACTTAAGGCTTTATTTAGTCGAGCTGGGCGTCAACCATTAGTTATGCACAAATGCATCTGTGACGCAGACACTCAGTTTAAGATGGGTCGGATAGAAGAAAAAAAAAAAGAAGCTGAACAAGACCTTTCCATTGTCGAGGTGTGCCGAGCTGTGAAATAGTTCTACGCTGGGTTTACTTCAACATCTACATGACGATCAGACACTTGAGTTTGTTGAGCAGAAGACATGCGATTGTGAGCGTAGAGGTAACATGAAAACAGCGTCTTCTCGTCTTTTTAATCAGTCACTCTTTGTAGTCAGAGTTGGTAATGTTTCATCATTTAGACCTGAAAAAGGCAGTTTTTCTTTGTGATTTATGATGAAATAACAAATTATGAAGATATTGATTCATGTTGACTTTAGATCTGAGACATGCTTTATAATAAACGATATTGTATTTGCACTTTTACTACAAAGATCACTTGTCTTCGACAAATGTTCAAATCCTGATTTATTTACTGCAAATTAATACATAGATTAAATTTCGGAGTTAGAAAAGCACCAAGTGGAGTACGTTAAGTACCTTTCAGGTTTAGTGTGTGCATGGGTGAGAAAGAGGCAAATTGTAACGCACTTTGCATAAATGCATTCATTTAACAGCATGTAAATGATTATTTTCATGTCCTCTCAGGTGGAGTTTGAGGACGGGTCTCAGGTGCTGGCAAAAAGAGAAGACGTCTATACTTTAGATGAAGACCTACCTAAAAAGGTGAAACGTAGACTTGTAAGTATTAGACTTACTGGGCAACACATGAACTTGTAAACCATAGGTTTGATGCTTGTAATGGCAATGACGGTTAAACACTCTCTTGCCACCTGGAGCACTTTGTTTACTCATCGGCGTTTTCTTCTCTTGGCTCGTCTTTCTAGTCCACCGCTTCAAGCATGCGTTTCCAGGACGCCTTCTTCACCACGCAGGGCGAGAGGAAACGGCAGAGAACGCCCAATTCGCGCTTCCAGAAAGACTATGTGGCCCTGCCAGGCCTCCGTACTACTACTACTACTACTACTGCCAAAAGCACATGGGAGCAACGCAGCCACAAAGGGAAATGAAGTCATGGACAAGGATCAATGACAAACGAATGCACTGACTAACCAGTGGATGTAGAGGAGGAGGCTGTTTGTGTGCGAGTGTATGTGCGAGTATGCTTGTGTTGAAGCGTTTTGGATCTACGTCCATCTCAGCTGTTGCCCACACAGCTTCCCTGAGGAAACATCTGAAGGGAACGGGTGACTCGGGGTTAGATGGATGCTCACTAGCGAGAGCTTGTACATTCTACAACAGTGACGGGCTGGAGAAGAACAGGACAGCTGGACTCTCGTAGAATTCTGGGATTGAATGGGTTACCGGAGGGCGTCGTCGCCTTGGTGGCCTCGTGCTTTCACATCCGTCAGGGAAAATAAACGTGACTTACATTTGTCACATCGCCCTTTTTTTTTGAGAAAACAAACTTCTTTTCTTTGTACATGGACAATTCAAAGGAGAGATTTCTTTTTCTAAATGGCTTGCCCATGGTAGCTTTTTGTGGGTCTGTTATTTCCAGATTTGATTTAGAATATTTATGGACTTTGCTTGTAGTATTTTCCCTCATGTCTTACTGTTTCTCCCCGCATGTTAAATGTCCTAACTGCTCCTGCTGGAGTCCAATGACACTACGATGGCTTCCTCGCTGCATGATTTTTCATCCACACGGACGAAAATCTATTGACTGTGTAATTTGTGACTGAAAAATGAATCATTGCCGAGTTTAAAAGAAACCAAATGTTAATCCCTCCCGAAGATGAAAGATTCAGACAGGAAGCCATGACTTTGGGTTGGATTCTGTGCACTGTTCACGTGAAATGCTACTGTCGCTCCATTGAATGAAACACATTGTTGAAATTATTTAAAATTTGTATTTATTTTTGGCTTGCTATAGTTAAACTATTGCTAACTGCTGTAATGAAAACAATAAATAAAGATATGTTTTTTTTTTTAATTGAATTGTCAAGTTATTTCAAATAAATTCAACAGCTGCTGTTATGCTTTCACATCACTGATGGGGCGCAAGCATTTAAAGCTGCTGAGCCTCCCCACCTCATGTTCATCTTTCTGCACTTATCTGTGTTTAAAGAGGGAGAGGTAGTTGTCACACCGTGTCATCAGACTTACTACCTCACCCCCGAGTGATCGCACCAATGACTGCAGTGTCCTCAGCAGATTTCAGGATATTTGTCCTTGTGGGAGGCGAGGTAGTTGTAGGTGAATAGTGTGTAGTGGCTTCCACTGGTAACCCTAACCCTACTATACTATGACTTTATTTTTTTATTTTTTCGACATACTATACTGTGACTTTCAGGCTAACTTGGAGCAGAACTCCAAACTTAAGTGCAGACAAAGAAGAAAGGAACTGGGCTAATATAAATAGAGACTGAGTAAAGGTGGAACAGGTGAGCAGAAGCACAGGTGACTACAGGGCTGACTAGAGACCGGTTAAACTAATGAGGGCGGGGCAGACGATCACAAAGGCGGGGAATAAAAATAAAGGCAGGAGGTAAAACAAGACAAGACTAATAAGGGGTTATCTTCAAAATAAAAGCAGGAAACACTAGAGCTGAATGAAAACATGAATCAAGGAAACAAGAAACGGAAGACGCGAAACACTCCACACTACAGTACGACTTTCTTTTTACATTTTAATAACATACCTATACTCTGACATTTTCAACAGGCTTTTCATTTTGCAATGACTTATTTATTTTCATGATGGCTTTTTAAAATATATTTCTAAATACTATATCATGACTTTTTGATTTTTTCATACTATAATTTTGCTCTTGTATGTACTTTTTGTGAATAGTTTACCGTGACTTTTTAATGATTTTTCTACATGTAAGACTTTGTGATTTTTACAACTTTTAACAAATTTGAAGGGGACCGTCTGCTACGCTAACATGGTCCAGAAAAAGGACTGCTGATTTAGCATGTTTTAGCCCATTACTGCCTGTGTGAGTTGATATACTTTGGGTATAGTGTTTAAAACACAATCATGGTCCTTTCAAACAACACATAAACAAGCCTTGCTCTAATGTCAGCCATATACGACATGAATTATTAGGGGCCAAAAAAAAAACCTCTTAATTTCAGACTTTTTTAACATTACAGATATGAAAATAGTTTTTAACTTTAAAACAGAGCACAATATCTAACCACCAATACATGGCAGCCAAAATCACCGAAATCTACATTTCAAGGTGCTGTTTATCAAAAGTTATATAAAAATCCTGTTCTTTTTAACTTTATTGTTCCAAAGTCTTAAGTATTATACAAAACGACAGAAGTAGCAATTATTTCACTTGAGTTTATTTGTAACAAATGAAACTTGTGTCGACAGAGAACAGAAATCCATACAGTCCTGTTTTTCGGTTTTCACTCGCTTCGAGAACAAATGTAGGAAAATAAAAAGCACTTGTTGACCCGGAGCAGAAAACAAACCAAATTAAAAAAAAAAAAAAATGTTTACATTTACAGACCAATTAAAGGTAATTGATCCAAGTAACACCATATTTGAATTTTTATACAATTTATAAACTCCAGTTTTATCCATCTACATGATACATTAAGGGGGTAAAATAGAACACTTTCTTTGTGAAACGTCTCTTTTGTGGTACAACAAATCCACAATGTGATGTATTGCACATACTGCTGTGCCATAAATTGTGACTTCCGGTGCATCGTTGTATTATATCACTCTGATAGATTCTTATTCACTCTTTACCTTAATTGTTGATCTATTCATTCATTTGTTTATGCATTTCAATTACTCTCTGTGTTTTGTGTTATTTACATATAAACAACCATGTGAGCATTACAGGGTCCATCTTTACTGAGTTCAAGTAAAACTCCTTTGGGAGGGGGAGGGGGCTATCAGAGATAATAGGATACTAGTATTAGTGCATAGTACAAAGAGAGAAAGTGCAAGTCTTCCCATAACAGGTGCGACCAAAGGGGCATCTCAAAAGTGGTACCATGCATACAAAAAACGACAACAGGGTTACTGTAAGATGGTGGGAATCCGTCAACGATCCCTAATACGGTCAAGCGCTAACGGAGATACAAAAAATGATGGTTTCTGTGTTGGAGGCGTAGCACCTGAACTTCTCTCAGCCTTTGTCGTTAAAGGAAAAAATATATATAACTGTTGACATCAGGATGAGTGACACAGATGAGCAGTGTGACGGATTTTAGGAGGAGGGCTTCAGGTATCGGTTTGGTTCGTTTCTTAGCTTTTCTCCAAAACGGACAAAGTTAGCCACCGTAGTTCAGCTTCATCTTGATTTCGATGAAGCTGAGTAAGTATGACTCCTCTGAGCCAGCTTTTTTTTTTTTAATGTATTTGAGTCTCATGTAAGATATCATTTCGATTAAAAGAGATATGACAGTGTTGTTGCTGGGAAAGTGATGAGTACAACTATCCAGCCTCCGCAGAGCTCGTCCATACAAAGTTTCACAGCCAAAAACACAACACACTAGATACGTATACGTACTGTAACATAACAAAATCATATACACATACATTCGGTTCACATACATACAAGCACACACACATAAGATACACAAAAGAACCCTTTAAAGTAACTTTATCAAAATAGGCGTGTAATATAAGGCACTAGAAATCTAAAATCAAAATACTTATTAGATGCTGTTTGAAGTATGAGTTTGATCATTCGTCGGTTGCCATGACACACAGAAAGTATGACATCATCGACTGAAACTGTGACATGATAAAAGATCTACTTCCTAAGAGGTCAGAGGTCGTCCCTCTGTTTGGACACATTTAACAGTGGCGAGAATCATACAACATCTTTGTGTCTGGAAAAAAGATGCGTCATCAATATCATCGTCTTCATAATGGCATATAACTGCAGTTAGTGACTACACACAAAAATATATAATACATCTACTTATTGCACACTGAATCAGACAGAGAGAGAAGTCATAGGTGAGCATTCCAGTGAGAAAATTGTTCCTGCCCTAACCCCCCCCCCTCGTTTTTCTACATCCCTGGCTCGCTCCCTGCTTAAGAAATCTTTGTGAAGCTTATTTGGACACATAAATAGATGTTTTTGTCGTACTTTGCTTTTCCGTGCATGCTCTCTGTTGTTTCTATCTGGACTTTCAGATCAACCTGCACACAGAAGAACGTGGCGAGATTATTCTCGGGACGTCCCAGTGGCAGCAGGGTTTAATGCTGCACCTCGGTCGGCCCCTGGGAATTCAAAAATGGCTGTCTTCTTTGACACCGGCAGGCCAGATAGAGATGAGGTTGAGAGTCCCGTGTGCATGGTGAAACAACCGTGTGTTTTCGAACAACCGAGTGGGTTAGAGAATACAGGAGTGACACTCAATTGTGGTGCTTTTTTTTATAGAATTGTGAACATTTTCCACACTAGATTTGATTGTACACTTTAAAACAGTACCGTATCACTTTTTTTTCCTCTTTTTTTGTTAAAACGCTACAGCTCATTGTATTACACAGAAGGGTAAAAAATACCACTTTGCCTTTGTATTGTCAGTGGGGACAAAGTCATAAATCTGTAAAAACAAAAAAAAACAGAACATGCCATAAAGAATAGCTAGTTTTTAAAAAAACAAGATAGTCACATATCTATATTTTCTTTTCTAAAAAACTAAATGAATGTTTTACTTTGTGGTATGCATTTTAAACCTCTCTCAAGCTTCCCTTATCTTAAAACATGAAGCATAAGGTTGAACTGGTGGTTTTTATTACTGTATGGTAGAAATATCTGGTTTTTCATTCACAAGAAGAGTCTGTTTCCAAAACAAAATAGGAAAACATAGCTTGGTGTCTTTTTTTGGGATGTATATTCTTTGTCTTTTTAATACTGTGTGCTCTGTGTTCTCAGTCTCCCGTTGGCAATTCCCTGGTGCTCAAAAGTCCCAGTTCCTTCAGTCCACGAGACTTCCATAAGATGGATTTGTAGACTCCTTCTGGACAGTCCTCAAGATAGAAAAATCTAAATTTCTTGTGACAGCTAAATACTGTAGCCGGGTCCTGTGCCTAGGTTGGTGATGCTACACTGGTGGTGGACGAGGTGAGTTCCACACCCAAACAATGTAAAGCAATCTGGGTGCTCACAAAAGCACTGAAACGAATAATAATAATAATAAAAAAAAAATCAATATTTGATCAAGTATTCTGATTGGAACAGTGGTTGAAGTTGCTTCTTCAGACTGACCAATGGGTGTGTTTGGGCTGAGGGTGAAAGGAAACACCCTTGTCAAGCAGGTTGCTATGGCTCAGTTGGAGGTGCTGTTTCTGAGTACGGGAAAAGCCGATGGGTCCCCTTTCACTCTGCATGTGGTCGCAAAAAATCTTCAAAAGACACACTGCAGCCTAGTGCATTCATTTAGGCCGCGTGTGACCTAAGAAAAGTGCACTAGCTGGGATGTGGCATGAGACACGGCCAGTCGGGTTTATGTTGCATAGTGATCAAAGCTTCCCAGGTACTCTAGGCTGGCCCGGTAGCAGAACTGGTACTGGTCCTGGAGGGAGGCAGAAGAAGATCAAGTCAGTGACAGAGGACACAAGGTGTTTAGGGAAATGAGGCATGGATTAGAAAGGAGTTAGAAGGATAACAGCTGGGAAGCTCACCTCTGTCTGAACGGTGGCAGGTCTCTGGGTGCGCAGCATCTTGACAGTCTGGAAGATGTCCACCACTCCCTCGTACCTCATCCTCTCCAGAACAATGCTGAGGGTGATGAACACACCGGTCCTGCCGACTCCAGCACTGTTGGCGAAGAGATGGAAACATATTAAGAGCTGGATATATTACAAAATGTTTAATAGTAAAATATGTCATAAAAAGGCATGGTATAGTTAGTATATCAATCAAATGTCATTAGGAAGTCATAGTATAGTATGTCATGAAAATGTCTAAAAGGATATTGTAAAGAATGTAATTTAAAGTCATAGTACAGTATTTCTGAAAAATATCAAAATAATAACATAAAGCTCATACAAAGTCGTAGTATAGTATGTCATCACATTTGTAAATTATCATAGTCTAATATGTCATTAAAACAACAGTATAGTAAGTCATAAATGTTTCAAAAAGTCTTCATATAATATCATAAGAGTCATAGTATAGATTGTCAATAAACGCTATGGTATAGTTTGTCCTTAAACTATCAAAAATTACATAAAATAATGTGTCACAAAAAAGTACACTATTGATGTCTCGATGCTCCAAATTCAGGATTCGATTGGACTTTTGACTTTAAAGTCACGAATCAAATTTTCGATTTAATCATTTTTTTCCTGCACTGCAGCTGTGCCATTAGCAGACAATGGAGTCTTTATTCGTTAAGATCAGCAGCTCATTGTTTTCATGTCTTTACAATTTCAATTATATTTTCAAATTTTTTCCTTAAAAAGAGAAGCTACATGGTATCAAGTGTGATATCTTTTTCAACGGTCAAACTTAAAAATAATGTATTTAATATGTCATAACTTATTTCACCAGTAAATGTGTTGTTACAACAACGGCTCGAGTTCTCTGAGTTTACGAGGTGCACCTGAATGCACCGTGAAGTCCCCGGCAGAGCCCACATGCTTTACCGTACACAGCGATGTGGATATAGAGGGAAGCAGGAGGATTTTCCTGTTTGCTTGTTTTGTCATCTCTGGCGCCTCACAAAGAGCAGCTGCAGGCTACCGGTAAGCTACGCTGTTTGGTGTTCTTGTGTTCCCAGTAGAGGGACAACTTGACTTTGAAGGTGGAAATGGAAAAGTTGTTTTTGATACATTTTGTTTGATACAAGTTGTTTTTGTGACATTTCACTAGAATTTCATAAAAATGTCATGGTATATATATTATAAAAAGCTATAGTATGTTATTAAAAGTCATTAAACGCATAGTATAGCATCACGGTTGACTGGATTTTGAAAAGCCCCCCCCCAAAAGAACTAGAGTCTATTACAAACTATACAAACTGGATAACTGTTGAACAGAACATCTTGGTCACAGTAATTAAACCTAAATAAATAAATCTGGATCACTAAACATCAAACTCAAAGTAATATCTAAATAAATAGCCTATATAAATATGATGAACATCAAACTCAAAGCAATAAATACATAAACCTGGAACTGAACGTCAAACCAACCAGAAGAAATCTACGTGAGAGCATTTCTATGTTTTGAAAGAGAGAAAGGTTTCGCTACATGTTAAATGCCACTCTTACAAACCATTAATGCTCATGCATATTCCCGGGATGAGGAGAGTCCTAAAGTGTGTGATTAAAGTAACTGTTGAATGATTTCTGTCTTGTATGGTGGACGAATAGCTGATAGTGTTGTGTTATATATTAGAGAGATGAGCGAGAGTCCCAAGAAGATTTTTGGAGTTCTAACGGAGTAAAGAAAAAGAAAAAAGATCTCGGACGTAGGTGTGAAGCGCACTGAGTGCTGGTACGCCCCCAACCCCACCTCTCCCAGTCTCAAAGTATGAGTGCCATTTCACAGTTTGGATTATTATCGGGAGTTTATCACATGCAAACATATATTTTTAGCAGAAGTTGACGTGTATTTGTATGGAGCCTTCATGAAGAACGCTGAGGACGTCCCTGCATGGTGGCGGCTGCGCAGCCATCGGCCACTACGAAAGCCCAGCTCCTCCGATAACGAGAGTTTGTAAAACGTCCCATCTGTGCCGATGACCAAACTGATTCATCTTCTTGTATAGTATGCCATTAAAATGTCAACAGTCATAGTATAGTATGTCATGAAAATCATAATATAATATGTTGCTAAAATGTCATAAAAAGGTAATGGTATAGCATTCCATTAAAAAGTCATGCAGTAATATGTCATTAAAAATGTATATGTGACAAAAAGTGCTTATTAGTGTGATCATGATATGATATATTATGTCACGAAAATCATAGTATAGTATGCCATTAAAATGACAAAAAAAGTCAAAGGACAAAAAGTCATACTATATAGTATGTCGTTAAAAGGTCATAAAAAAATCATATGGTATGATGTTGAAATGTCATAACAATTCATTGCATTGTCTTAATGGTGTGATAAAAAAAAAATCGTACAGTATGTCATAACAACGTCATAATAAAGTCATAGTTTAGTATGTCAAAAAAACTGATATTAAAAAGTCCAAGTATTTTTTATTAGTTAACCTTTATTTAACCAGGACAATCCCATTGAGATTGTGAATCTAATTTATAAAAGGGATTCTGGCAAAGACGGCAACGGAAAAGTTCCACACAAGCAAGCACCGCATAAAAAAACGAATACAAAACATAGAAAAAAGCAGAATAGCAAAAGTTAAAAACAAACAGAAGATTCACATAAAAGAGACGACGGACTTAAAACAAACCAGCAAATTGCATCAACCAAAGAATTGTCATTCAGTGTCACCTAGTATGTTATCAAAATAACCAAAAAGTGATGTAAGAGTGTGTCACGACAATGTCATTAAAAAGACTTATTATGCATAAAAAAATTATAGTAAGTATGTCATTAAAGTCTCAAAAAGTTATAGCAAATTATGTCATAAAATTGTCATCAAGAAGTCATGGCATAATATGTCATTAAAATGTCCAATAATAGCCATAGTGCAGCATGTTGTATTATGTATAGTGTATTATGTCAAATAAAATGTCCAAAAAGTCATAGCATATCATATCATTAAAAAATGTCAAAGAAGTCATAGAATAGTATGTCATGAAAATGTCAGAAATAGTAAAAGTCAAGTGTGTCATGTTCACTGGCTAAGTTTGTAGTGACCCAATTCAGATGTGTTTGCTTACACATGGCAAAGATCAGACACTGTATGTATCATTACGTTTCAGCAGGACAGAATATATATATAGTTATATATATATATATATATATATTTAGAGCTGTAGCAGAAAGGCAAGTTTCCCGTGACTGTGACCAGTGACCTGCGGGCTAATGGTTTAGGATCACTGCCCGACACAGACTATTATGCGGTAAGATGACCGGCACTGTTTGCCAGGTGCAGAAAATAACCTCATCAACCTCATCTTCATTTGTTATGTTTCTCCACTCATTTATTGTCACTCACCTTTAATACAACAATCACATGGTTTGTAATATAACTGCGTTAGTGGGAGGTCTTACCTGCAGTGCACAGTAATTGGCCCGTCCTGGCCAAACTGTTCTTTAGTTTTGTGCACCTGGCCAATGAAATCAATGAATCCCTCCCCTGACTTTGGCACTCCTTGCTCTGGCCAATCGGTGAACTGGAACTGACGAACTGTCCGTGATTGGCCGTCCTGGAAGAAGAGAACGTGTTCTATCATTTGTAACCACAGAAATAATGTCGAAGCAGTACAAATGCGCACGTAGAGGCAAACACAGGCAAACTGACGACTCACCCTGGCATCAGTGACTTTGAACTCTCGCAGAATGTACTGGGGCATGTTGTACTCGGCCATGGGATCCACCACAAAGTACTGGTACCTGGCTGAGCGCTCTGCAGGCCAGTACTGGTGACACTTCTCCTGCAGGAGGACAGCAGAGAGGCTTCTGTTTCAGAGCTTTGCATACTCCCGCTTGGACAAATTATTAACGACAATAACATTTCTCATCATAGCTATGCTGACAGCCCTCTCACCCACCCACTAGTCCCCCTAGGATCCCCATGCTTTTCGCTTCAGAGTTCCTACGAAACCAAAAGAACCAACCTCACTTTAAACCACTGCTGCTTGTTTATAAATCATTAAATGGAGAAAGATCAAAATATATCTCAGATATGTTTCAACTGTACATAATTGCTGGACCTCTCAGATCACTGGAAATAAATCTGTTAGCAATACCTTCCGACCAGAACTAAACATAGTGAAGCAGCATCTAGCTGCTACGCTGCCCAGTACTGGAACCAACTCTCACATCTAGACGTGAAACCCCCACTGTCCCTCTGACGCTTTTTTGCTAACTGATAGAACGCACTCTGCTTTCTATCTACGCTGTTTTAGTTGATCTAAAACACTCTTTCTTTGATGCTTGTTTTATCTGCTCACCTGTAAAGCACTTTGAATTCCCCAGGTGTGCAAGTTATGCTATACAAATACACTTGCTGTGCCTTGCCTTTACATCATGCCTGAGGGACTCAGTGCATGAGGAGAACTATTTCCTGCTACTTTGTCAGGAAAATTACATCCTGACCACAAAATATTAATTATTCATTCGAAGATTGTCTTGTGCCAAACGAGACATGATGTTCATGAGATATAACTCGCATCATTATCTCTTCATCACACATGATATTTTGGGTCGATTTTCATTTATTTAAACCTTGCGTAACGTTTTAAAGCTGCAGCTCGCTCACAATAATTTAATTACTGTGGCTTACTTTCTCTTTCTCTTTGATCCGTCACCAGATCTACAAGCCCTTACACCAGGAGAATTAGAGGTTCTATTCTTACAAATACCCTACATGGGGTACTTGATTACATGAATGTGTGTGTGTGTGTGTGTGTGTGTGTGAACTTTTATCCGTACCCGTCCCATTTCTCTCAGTTTGGTTAGCATGACAACTATGGTGGAGTTGTGTTCCCACAGCATCCTCCAGTAGTCCTCTGTGGTCTCAGCCAGCGGGCCTTGGGTTGCTATGTAGGCCTTCTGCTGCCTGCAAACACAAACCGATGAGTTAAATACTCTCCCTGTCAATACCTTTGAGTCTACATAAAATAACTGAATGAACTAAACCTCAATGTAAGGCCTTAAATGCTAACAAGAAAACGGGAAGATGAAAAAATAACAGTTCAGATCAATTTTGTCTGACCTGTATCCATCGATGAAGCTGGCGTTGATGTAGTCCGATCCCTCCACTCCTCTGATTGGCTGCAGGCACACTCGCGTGGTCTCGTAGGGCATGATGTTCACCAGCCGGTTCTTGAACTTGTTGCACGGCAGGTTGGCGCTCACAAACCGCGATGTGTGGGCCTTGGCACTGGCCAGACGCTGGAACGGAAAATAAATCAATATTATATAATATTACACTATTCTTTTTTTTCTGTGTCAAACACTTGGCCAATCCCACATGGGATTACAAGACACCTCTGTTTTACATATGTCTTTTGGTTTTGCATATACAAATCATTTATAGATCCTTAGATATTGTTCCAAGAAGTAGTGTTGGTGAGAGCAGACAGAACACAAAGGAATCAAATGAAGGATGATGGAAACAAGAAGGGATTGATTAAAAGGAAGGAAGAAAGTTCAGACAAATTCAAGGACCTCATTCAAATGTGTTTAGCACAAGCCTTGGTTTTCTCCAGACAAACTGAAAAATCTGTTCGACTCGGCAGGCCTGAGGATATTCAGCCAGACACATCAAAAAGAGGGGCAATGTGGAGGAAAGAGGGAATATTATAAAATGAATGAGAGGAGGGAGAAGAAAATCAAGAGAGGGGGGGGGGGCAGGAAACCACAAGGCCCCACACTGTCTCAACGCACATATGTGAACCACAGTTGATCCTTCACCAGCAAAGGGAGGAAAAAAGACAAAACACCCTGGAACACACACATTCGTGTGGATACGTGCAGACGTGAGCACATGCTGTACACTCTCTCTGACACTCGACCATTGGATGACACGGCTTCGAGAACGAAAGACAGAACAACAGAGAACAGGCAGAGGGAAACCGCAGACGGAGACAATGGGATGTCGTGAACTGAGCCTCAGCCATCGGCGGCTACCGGAGCACTGTGGGAGAAACAGCAGTACCTTATTTTCCTTACAGACGGACCGCGCTGGAAAATCCCACACCGACCACAAGTTCACCAGTTCATTTTGGTTCTCTGAACCGAGGTTTCCAGTGCCAACGATAGCAATTCTTCATGCGAGTTGGATTTGAATTTGACTCTGCCTTATCAATAAAGTCTGGAACACACAAAACGTTCCGTTCCTTTGATACATGCCCATTATTTTAACCATCTGTTAAGCTTGGATAAAATCATGCCCTGTTGGCAACCTCTCTCAGTAAACTCTCTCTTTCTGTGTAAGGAAACAAAAACAGAGTGTCTTAATAGGGTGTTGGGTTACCAAAGGCTGCCAGGACAGCTGCATGTCTTTCTTTTTCTCACACACATGCCTCGACTTTCTTTTCATTTGAGGGATGCGACGCTTCTCCTCCGTGAGAAATTCCATCCTTTTTGGTGTTTTGTAGATGAAGGTGGAAAGTGCCGGTTGTCTGTCCCGCAAGTGTTTGAGTGAGATGGAACACCTCACACACACATGTTTTACGTTGATATTTAGGCTGAGCAACCAAGTTGAAGGAGCCCTTGGTTCATTGTCATTCTGATGAAACTGCTGCCATTATGGCAGGAATGCCAGAGCATAGAATGGAGGAGATTGCTTAGAATGGCTTTGTGTTTACTTTGCCGTCTGAGCAGAAATAAACCATTCCAGGAAAAAAATGGAAGCCACCTGCTTTCAATATATATACCTGTATGGGTAAATTGTCTTTCCACCATGCCGAACCAGACAGGTCTTCTGAGAACTCGTATTGCAAGAGGTGAATACCACAGTAAACAACACAAAAACAGGGAGAATATAATGAAAGCAACCCAACTCAATAACACTCCCTTATGTACTCACTCTTCCCGCTTGTGTGGTCATGCCTGTGTTCTGTGTTCTCACTTTGAATTCTGATCAGCTACCCTAAATTGTTCGAAAGTGCCCATATGACCTTTCCCTGAGATTATTGTTATGAACTGCAACTTTCTGGCCCACGTTATTCCATCTTTCTGCGTGTAGCCATCTAACATCCAAACATGCCCTCTAAAACCCCCAGTAGAACTCTCTTACCGTGGATTCAAAAGTCGCAATCCCATAATCCCCTTCAAATCCAACCATCCAGCCTGAGTATATGAAACTCTCAGAGCAGGAACCAATAACCCCGGAAAAGATGCTCAGTGACCAGCGGCTGACTGGAATGTTCGGGAGGACTCACAAACAGCCAATCCATTTCAGGCCGAACCGGCCAGTGGTTCTAGAGTTTAGATTTTTTAAATTTCTGATAGTAGTTAAGTAGTGGAATACTGCTTGTCAGTCTGGGCCAATGTAGTACTTTCAATATTAAGGGGTGACACCAGATGCCCCTCCCAAATTGGACTGATCTTCATTTTTTTTCCACTTTGAGTGGTCGTAAGACTAGAAAAGTACTAGAAAAGTACTATACAAGTACAAGTACATTCATCATTTATGCCCCCGGTCAAAGATTTGACCGGCGGGGGACACCTATATAATCTCTCCCTGTCACATCACTGGTCCCATAGCGCTGAAACACCAAATGCCAATCACAGTTAAACGTAGTTACACAACAGCTCAGCAAGGGAAAGCTTTACGCCAATAGATCAGAGCGTCACAACATGAGCACGCGTCACCACGAATCTGCACACAAAGACATTTAGGTAGTTACAGATTGAAAAGTTAAGACACTGATTTGGTGAAACGATTTATATGGTTGCATTGGACAGACTGTTTTGTTTCGTTATTCCAATGTCGCATTTTTCCGATTGGTTGAATCGACAAGGACAAAGTAGCATGTAGGGAGCCCATCCTCAGATTCATTCTCCTGAAGTGGAGAGGAGGCACTGAATATCTACAGTGCCAAATTCAGGGACGTTATTGTGTAGCTGACCCTGACGCCTGGCCTTCTGTTTGTCCCTTACAGAGACCAGTTTAAGAGTCCCATTATCATCGTTTGACCAGTTTTATGAACCACCATAAATCAGTTGGATCTAACTCTACAACCCTCACGCACACAAGGTGATGAGTCCTCACCTTGAACTCCAGCTCCATGCCGGTGACATTCTCCCCTGGTTCGATCTGCGTCAGCCTCTGGATGTAGGAGTACAGGTTCCTGGCGGGGACCTCAGTGTTCCCGCAGGTCACGGTCTCCAGCAGCGCATCGTGGATGAAGATGTACTGGTCCTCCGTCTGGACCATGTAGTTCCTCTGGGAGCGCATCAGCGTGACATGGCCGTAGATGTCCAGGGTCTTTTCATGCTTGATTCGCTCCGCCATGGCTTCGATCACGATGAAGCACCCCGTGCGACCAACTCCAGCACTGAGACAAAACGGAGCCACAAAAAAAAAAAAAAAAAAAGGGAACAGATGGTGATGCGATATTCTCACCTAACCTTCGGGGTACGAATTGTCGAGCAAATCATTTTCCTGAGTGTGTGTGTGCCGTGTCTTCAAACCTGGTACAAATCTTGCCCTGTTGCATATTGCAAAAAAAGCCCTAACATACTGTCCCTAAATCAACTAAGTATCGCAAAGGTGCCAGCCAGCAATATTTCCAACAAAGGACGTAAAAATTGACATCAGCGATGAGTAAGCATCACCCTCTGACTGGCATTAGGAAGATATCCTCTCCTATCGACATGCAATCCAGAAATATAATACATTTAGCTGCCCACCCAAACACTTCCACGGTTTTTGCTGTGCTGGTACCGACACGGTGAAACACCCTGACCAAGTGAGTTTCAGCAAGCGAATAGAAAAAAACCTCTTTATATTGTTAAATTAATATCAGTGTGTATGTGTGTGTGTGCGTGCACGCTAGTGTGTGCGTGCGTGCTGTTCAGGTGGAGTGAGACTCGGGCCATTGTTTGATACAGAGGCTGGTTGATATGTTAAGGTACATTATGATGGAGTCTTGCTGGGATAATTAAATTTGACTGATAATCCTGTTAGATACTCCATCTGACTGCTACGGGAGATTAGGAAGAGCTCCTCTCCTGCCAACCTTTTCACCCCCTCCCTCCCTCCCGTCCTTATCTCCCTGCCTCTTTATCTTCTCCCCAAGTACCCTTGCAACACTCTCACGGCAGCCCTACCACTTTTTCACTCTTGCATTTGCACTTATTTTTTTTTTAGATTCCATTTTCACTCCACCTTCCCTTTCCTTTAATTCATCATTTCCATTCACCGCGTCCTGGATCTGACCTCACCTTCTCTCTCATTCCGCTCACATATCTCCTCCTCTAACTCCCCATTCCTCGCTAACTCTCGATCATTCCTCAATCCCCCTTTTCTTCACGTGCTGCTCTTCCTTCCATGATCTATACCTCGCTAATTCTTCCTTCCCCCTGAGAGCTTCAGCTTGTTCTCTTCCTTCTCTCCCTGGCATAGCAGCTCCGTTCCAGCTCTTGGAGCTCAACGCTGTGCCAAGACTGCAATGACAAGTTTCCAGAATTTTCCTCCGACCAACACGCGAGCCTCCTGCCGCTCAGATAGCAGCTCGTTTGAATTTAAACTTGTGAACCCGGATGTACAGTAACGTAAGCGTGAACGGCAAACAATGGACCCTGAAAGCTACTTCTGGAAAAGAGGGTCAGCCTCTGTTGTAACACCTTTAGAGATGATGGCTGTCGTTAAGGGAGGAATGTGGCCGTCTAAGCCAGTCAGGACGATTTGGGGTTTGCATAATGGTAGGTCAATCAGTCCAGGACCTATGAATGATTTGATACAAGTGCTCTTGGACTCATGTTGATTTTCACAGACTCCCGGGCTTTAAAAAATGATGTTGCCAAGTAATACCCCAAATAACACATAAGCGTTTCATGCAAGCACACACACACACACACACACACACACACACACACACACACACACACACATACGGACCAAAAGTACTTTTTTTTGGGTCAGGGACCCCTGGATTTTTTTTCCTTGGTGGATTTAGGAATCATTTCAGCACAGTGAATTACAAGAACTTTTTAAAACTAAACCAATTAAAAAAAACATAGATAAAGCGATGACGAAAAACATCACACACACACCTGCAATGGACGACCATGGGACCGGCATCTGGAGGGTTGCAGGCCTTGACCCTGCGTAGGAAGGCCAGGAAGGGAGTGGGGTGTTCAGGCACCCCGTGGTCCGGCCAGGCTGTGAACTGGAAGTGACGAACCTCGCGCTTCTCATTGGAGCCGCTCTGGACAAGCAGACGGACAAGTGCGTTAAAGATAAAGCCTGTGTTACTTATTGCTTATTTATTTGACTGTCAGGAAACATGTAGTGTCCCATGGAAAGCACAAAACCCCACAACGTGCTCGTCTGTCTTCCAGTACTTTCCTATTTCCCTTCCCTGTCTGTGGCACTAAGCTCTAGCCCCATTTATTCCTACTGAAGATATAAATCTTTAAAAACAGGTCACAAATAAAACAATAAGGCTCAGTCATTTCCTAAAAGTGCGGGAATACATTGTTGAATCAGGACTAAATTGTTCCGCCATGGATTAATACACTTTTAGTGACCTAGTGAGCGGCAAGGTGGTATATCAGGCTTTGGTGACACGTTCAATACTTGTTGTTAGGGTTAATTTATCGTGGCTTTTGTGGTCAAAGACCTATCCTTTAAAATGTAAACCAACAATAAATTGCTAGGATATATATTAAGTATTATACTACTGAACCAGGTTGTCCAATTTAGTTGAGAAAATCTAAGAACAAATATGCTGCTATGGTTATGATGAATCCCTTTAAATATCATTGGAAGAATCAATAATGTATGAAAATATGTTGCTGCTGTTATTTTCTATTTTTCTATTGGGTCACAACTACAGGCAACTGCATGTACAAACTGTGACATGGCCACAAAATGGAGCACAAACACACAAACTGGTGCGCATAAATATTTGAACAGATCAATACGCACGCAACCCCATTACATCCCACTGAACACATGTCATGTTACCTTGTAAAGAGCGAAGGTCCTGACAGAGTAGGTGGCCAGCTCCACGGTGTCCAGCAGAGTGACCTGGATGAGGCCGTAGGTCTCTGTGCCCCGCGTTGGCCAGTACTGATCACACTTCACCTACAAGGGGGGGGGGGGGAGGGGAAGAAGCTGTGAGGGATGCGGAGCAGTTTGCATAATGTCTGTACACATGTTTTTTTGTGAAAGAAGAGAGAAAGAGAGAGCTGACTTGGGTGCGTGTTCTCATGTACAGATGCACAAAAAAAAAAGAGGAGGGGAGTGTTAAAGCAGATCACTGAGAGAGATTTTTGCAAACTTCAGACAGTAATGTTTGGAAAAAATGTGCATATATAGCGACTACCCGGCGTGTGAAAGCGGGTTTAGTGAGTGTGTAGGGTGAAGAGTGAGAGAGAGAGAGAGAGAGAGAGAGAGAGAGTTCTGCTTTCTGGGTTGTGATCCTGCATAAGTTGCGCTTTAAATACTAGAAAAACCTGTGTGGCATGAAATTTCCATATAGGTTGGTGGGCTCTCACGAAGATCCACCGCAGAGCTGGAAAAAGCCAAGTGATACCCAAAGTTCAGCCCTCGCATAGTTGATGCTGTACATCACCCTACATTCCAACCTCACAAATCCCTACAAAACTACACCCCCCGCACACCAAATCCCAGCATGCCCTGACCATCGAAGCACCTAGAATCCCCCCCTGTATAATGCGGTCATATTTGTAGTTTCTTCAACTCAGCCTCAGAGACCCCAAAGGAGAGAGGAAAATAAAAAATCCCAGTGGAGGGGGAAAGGGACGGGGTGGGGTGGGGGTGGGTGCACTTGGCAGAATCAGGCCAAACCAAACGTTATGTGCTGATCCCTCCAGTCCTCACATCAAAGACAGCAGGGAGCTCAGCTCAGCTCGCTCTGCATTCCGCTGCTCCAGACTGGGGATTATGCGTTTTGGCCGGGGACGTTCAGGCTGTAATTACAGCTTTTCAACTGTTGTTTTCCCACCAGACCATGAGACACTGCGGGGACAGGAACGGCCGTCCACGTAAAGGGGGGCTAGACCCCTGCCAAGGACTAAACAGGATCGCAGTAAATGCCCGGTGTGAAGGCCATATCACCCAGTGACATATTGGCTAGCATAACCGCGCACCCGCTCTTACCGTAGTTTGATTGGTGCTAAAAGGAAAGATACTGGCAAGATTCCCACAGTGGGACCATCTGTGATCATCTGTGTCGTTAATGCTTAAAACACATAATGGCGTAATGTTGAGAGGTGTTAAATGAGATTAAATCATTTCCTCCAACAAGCAGCCCACCACTCCCTCAAAACAGCAGATATGGAGTTAGTGGGCTGATAATTAACAGCTAAGCAAATTGACTGTCTTCACTGTAGCATAATGTTGTAATCACTTATTGAATTTAGATCATTTAAAGCCTAGCAGTCATTTCAGGAATGAAGATTCATCACGTTAACGAGACAGTAACAGCCTGTAGTTTACAATTAGGTCCTCTGCAGTCCTAGTCGTTCTTTCATGGCTTCATCCTGCGTAGCCACTTGACAGGAAAGTAGAAAGAAACTGTTGCGGGCGTGATCATGCAAACTGTAGACGCTAATGTGCACTGTGTCTGACCTGCGGTGGTTACAATAAAACTACGTGTGCCTTGTGATGAGTTGGAAACACTCCTGCATTCTCACTCAATGCACACTGGTTGATTACACAGAAAAGGGGGAGGGGGGGGTATTAAATAGAGGGGGGAAAAAGGCAGGGAGAGAACCATGTGAGGTGAGGTTGCACTTTTAAAAAGGGGATTAGCAAAGGAGAGAAAGAGAGGTCTTGCCTTAGAGAAGAAATAAGAGGGCATCTGAGGGTCAAACAGACACAACAGAGACAGTTGGAGAAAGTCGGAAAAGCAAACAGAGGTTTAACACAGGACACAGGTTAATAGGAGAAGAAGCACAGATGAAAGGAAAGGATCATTCTCTGAACAGGGCCCTGGACATAATTGGTTAGCACTTAATCATGATTCACACCTGGAGCCATTCTTGTTATTTTTTATTCCAACATGACATTCTCATTACATTGAATTTTTACTCAAGCGCGTATCCTGTTAACAACAGCAGAATGCCTCGAGGCTAAATGATTTTCTAATTCATTACCTACCCCCCTATTTCCAATTCCCAATTCCCCCAGGACTGGCTCACCGTTCTGCTCTCCCACAGTCTACTGTATCATGCTCTATGCTGATCGACTGCATGCCACCTTGCACTATCCTACTCTGAACTTCTCACTTAAACACAGCCCTTTCAGCTTGATCACCTTAATGATGTCAGTTGTCTTTTGGTTGATTCAATAATCTATTTCCGCACTACATGACGGAGTGGTCCATCCTGGTCCTTTCTCTCATGTCCTCTCCTTGTTAAGTCCATCTTGGACTCTATTGTCCTTCCAACATCCTCAAGCAAGAATATTCAATTAAAATTCCAAAAGGTCCAGATTGAGAAAATCTCCTCGGGCAAAGGTCCGGAACATTACAATAATATCTAACTTGCGCTACTTAGTGCCATATATACAGTATATATATTCAAGAAGCCTAGTAGTAGTAACAACATCTCTGTGTAGTCAACAACTGTCAAATCAAATATAGAAAGTACACATCAATTATATTTTAACAATTATTATTCTCAGTTTTCAAATTGAACTGGATGGATTATAAATAATACATAAATAAATGTTCTTCTCATTTCAGGTAAAATAATGGCTGGATTAAAGAATAACTGATTAAACAGAAAGCTTTTGAAAAATGTGAATCTTAAAATAAAGTACTAAATTGCCCTGCAGCTTTAAATTCAGTTGATTCAGGTGTGAAGTGATGTCAATCAAAAAAGCCATAATTATATATTTTTCTCATCTTCTAACAAGAGAAATTAGTGTTCAGGACTTTATCTGTGGTTATTAATTAAAGCACTTGTTTCAGCTCTATTCTCTCTGGTAACATCATTGTTGGACAGTGAAACAATGTGTTATGATTCTGATCATATTGGGCTCTTAGCTTTATTTTCTGTGTCTTCATTTAGATGTGAGTGGGTACGTTTGCTCAAAAGAGTTGTGCTTTGTCTCGTAGTGGCGCTTCACATTACCGCATTTAATAATCATCACGGTCTCTGAACATATGAGACATACTGGTTTTAAACTGCCCGTGGGAACAATTAACCTATAAGAGTCTGTTCATTATTGGTTAAAGACTCTGGTCTCTCTGGTCTGTCTGGTCTCTGACCACCTTTCTCTCTTTGGAGAACATCTTGTGAAATACCTTCTCTGACTCACGTAATTATTTTCCTACTCTTCGTTCTCCTCGTCTCTCCCGTGTGTGTACATCTCACTCGAATCAGGAAACTTGTCAGAATCCGGACCGCGCCCCGCCTATTAGTGACCCCTGTCCTAAAGAAATGAACATCCTGCCCTGAATGTCTCGTAACCTCCTCACTGCTGTCAAACCGACCACATCCAATCCTATTCTACTCGTATTCAACTCTAACCTAACTGTCACTTTATTCCTGTTGCTTTATTTTAATTTACCCTTCAGAAATGGCCGTGTCCTTGACCACTCAACCCGACAAATCTCTTCCACACCCAATCCTGTTCTTTTAAACCCCATAATCTTACCCTTTCATACCCACTTCCCTTGCATACAGTCCAATCCAATCCTACTTTACCAAATGCAGTCCTACTCTACACTACGCCTCCTTTGCCCTTTCCTACGCTGACAGTGGGGCGTCCAGTTGCACTCTTACACTACATGTTGCTGCCGTTCTTCTGACATTTCCTTAATCATCTGAAAAGCAGAATGCCGCAGTTAAAACAAATAAATAATTCACTGCATGTACAGCATGCGGCCTCGCTTAGCGACCTGCTTGTCAATGTGCAAAGGCACAGACCACTTGCATCATTGAGATATGCAAGATATGTACAAAAACCTGTTGGATGTAAAGATTGTAGTTTACAGTACTTCTAAGGTTTTTGGAATTTATTGTAAAATTGCTCCAGATAAAATCGATAAAGGGAAGATATGTTTACGCATTGTATCACATTGCACAAAAGTATATGGTTAAAAAAATCCAGCTTTTTACTTGTGACAACATCAGTGGTCATGGTCCAATTGCTTACATGTACTGGTAGTGGTACTGGTTTGGCTGGAGAAAAAACAGTTTATCCTGCATACCATAGCTTTATTTTCTATATTTATTGACCCTACCTTACTACATGTCCTATCCTACACTCATGCTCCCTTCCCACATTTATTCCACTATCGCCTGTGTTCAGTGCACAGCCTACCATCCGCTGTCGTATCCAAGCCAAAAAAATGCTACTTAATATGTGCATCCTGACAAGCTAATACTTGACCCTTTGACCTATCCTCTCCTGCTCCTTCCTCTTCTGCCTGATTCGATTTGATCCCATCCTCCCCTTTCCCTTCTCTTCTCTAAGGGCACCAGTATCGTGTTTGCTGAGCTACCCCTTTACTTTGCTGTCGCTTGCTCCCACGTCATTCCATCCTTACCCGTGACTTCTCTTCCAGCTTGGTCATCATGATAATGTTAGCCGTGTGCTGCTCCCAGACCATCCTCCAGAACTCCCCGAAAGTCTCAGGGAGGGATCCCTGAGTGGCGATATAGGCATTCTGACGGCGGTAGCCATCGACATAGTTGGCGTTGATGTAGTCACTGCCTGGGACACCTGCATGATGAGGTAAATGAAGTGGAAGTTACGGAGGATAAACGGAAAGAGGTGTGTGCATGGAGGAGGAGGAGAATAGAATTGTGATGGGTGAAGGTTGGGGAGAATAAACAGAGGGGTTATATAGATGCCACTGATGCTGAAATATGCGTTTGTGTCGCTCCACTGCTTGCATGACAAATAACATCAGGGTCGAATGTGTCTGCACTGATCGCATGTAAACAGTGTCTGTCCTTTCCCCTGATTCTTTTTCTGATTCACAGTGAAATAATATATTTTGGATTATTCAAAGTCTCCGGCCGTGAAAGCAGGGTTCCCGTCGCAGTAATAAAGGGTGCAGATCATCTGAGGTCATGGCGGGGGGGATTAATGTTTTCACCGGGCCAAGCGTCCTTTGGTGTTGGATTGTTCAGCCGTCTTGTTTTATAATACATGCTAAGACGATCATGGGCCTAATCTGAGTATACTCTGGATGTGTCGCTTTGAATGGCAATATGACTGCAGGGCCCCGTCTCTGTGTAAAACTCGGCTGACACTGCTTGTCCTGGAGGGGATTGTGTGTACGTGTGTGTGTGTGTGTGTGTGTGCGCGCGTGTGTGCGCGTGTGTGCGACGTGAGAGACCATCTGTGTGTATTTGATTTAGGATCAGTCCTGCTCATCTGGGGCCTAATACCATAATCCCAAAAATCACTGAGTCACAGCTCAAACATGCGCGCACACACACACACACACACAAACACACACACACACACACACACACACACTAAAACACCAAAGTACACGCACACGGGCGTGCACGCGTGCATTCAGCCGTGACCCGAATCTGCCGAAGTGGGACACAAAACTCCTTTTGAGTCGTCTGATGGCAGTTTACGTTTGAAAAGATGGAAGTCAAAGAGCAAACAGAAGAATCCCTGACAGGAAGAAGCTCCTGTAGCTGATTCTCTCCTAGCTCCTTCTTCATGTTAGCACATCTCAGCCCCACGCAGTTGTAAAACCCCAAGCCTCCATCACTCACACGCGCACATTTAAATGACAGAGGACAACGGGGTGTTTGCACAACTTATTTCAAATGGGATGGGGACAGACGGTAAGAAGAGCTTCTAACATATGTTTATCAACCTCAGTCTTTAAAAGACAGCTTGGCTAAATGCTTTCATGTGCTGCAACTTTATTGCAAGGGACTACAGCAGAAGCGCTGTGCAGATAAAACAGACACACACACACACACACTTCCAGTTACTTGCTGGCTACACTGGCTTGGCAGAGAGTGTGTGTTCATGCAGCATGTGTGGAGTCAACTGGGAGCAAAAGTGCATATCTGCGCTTGTGCACACCCTGGGCATGTTTTAAATCTATAGTAGAAAGTGTGTGTGTGTGTGTGCGCGCTCTTATGTGTTTGGACATGCTCAAGAGTATATGTGTTTTCTAAGCTGAAAGAAAGACAGACAGCCAGGGCTCCGGGACAGGCGGGGGTGGAAGGGCTGCTCACACATGCTCTGCCCAGATAAGGCTCATCTGTTTGGGCTTGGCCTCCCACTGACTCCCTCTCTCCACATTGGAGCTGCCAGTTTCTCTGCCTCAGGTCTTTCCCAGCTGAGGTGGGTGTGTGCGCTTCATAAAGCACACTGAGAACAGGACTGAGAATATTTTTTCCTCTAATTTTAGACCGTTTAAAAAAGACCAAATCCAGTAGAATGGGCACACCGTGAAACTATATCAGTAAATACGCAATTAATACAAAATTGTATACCTCATCTGTCATGGATAGCAGCTCTAAGACATACACATTCATCCAGATGAACTGTACTTCTATACCTGGGATGACTCACTGTGTTGACATAATGCACTTCCTCGTTTTACAACCTTGTTCTTAAAATCCCAAGAGTGATGGAATTTTCTAGCTTCTATTAATGTCCATTGCTCAAGTTACGCTCCTCTGTGAAGGCAAAATGTGAATAAATAAAAACTTTTTTCATTGTTCAATACAGACTATTTTGATAAGAATTGCAATCATTTTGTTTAACTCTTCCACAGCACTTTCTGGGCGGATGTTTTTCTGAGGCGTAGCTCGACTGCTGCGTGCTGATGTTGCAATGGAACAACCAATTATCTTTCACTTTCATTCAAAATGTAGTTCTTTGCTAGAAAGATTCCGTCTTGTGTAAAACTCTCACGAGAGCTTGTGTTCATGTGTTGACGTACGGCAGGCAGGAAGCCTACCAGCCCCGAGCGATCCTCTATCTCTACACCTGTAGGAAGGTAGAATATGCAGTTGTGTTTGACACTTTCACATGCTAATGTGACATCAGTACTGATAATTGTAAAAACTTTGATTGAACGGACCCAGTAGAGGTGAAATGCGTCCCCCTATTTCTTTGGGGCAGTTGGCTAAGTTTGACACATTGCACCTTCAACCATCACAACTAAATGCCCAATCTAAACCCTTAGCCTAACATTTACCCTGTAACCAAGTTACAAACCTCAAACAGCCTTGAAAGAAGTGACTAAAATGCCATCACTTCCTAAAAATGTCCCACGCTCAAGTGAGTCCTCACAAAGATAGAAGTACAAGAGCTCTCACACACACGCACAAACACACTGGAAGCGTGTCTTACCGTCAATACCGGAGAGTATGACCCTGGAGTGATCATAGGCAATGACGTTAGCATAGCGGTTCTTTGGTTTGTTGACCTCCAAGTTGGAGTTCTCCCATGTGAACTGCTGACCGGGGTCGATGGACTGCAAGATGCAAAAGACAAGGTCAAAGACGAAAAGAGAAAACACCACCAGAAAGTAGCACTTTCAAACTCCCGTATGTATGATCTAACTCTCCAATAGTATCATGCATACGCTATACAGTAAGCATTACCACTTAAAATTAAGTGCTGGCAGGGGGCTTGTTATTCCTTATAAATCGGCCACAAAATGCAGAAAATGGCATTCAGAAAAGCCAGAACTGGACAATTCCATGAATTTGAGCTCGCAAGCAATTGCCCAGTGTGGCTGGAGCGAAACCACACCATTACAAACCAAGGACAAATTGAAAATTAACAAGGTATTATTGAACTTGGACAGGAATGTCGGCAAATACGATATCCCGTTTCAAGAAACAACAGCGATGTCGGGACTTTCCGCTTTCGACACACTCAACAAAAAAAAAAAAAAAAAAGAAAAAAAACTAGCTACGAGAGAAAGAGGATAAAAAGTACAATAAATTCCTCTGGGAGAGAAAAGATGGTTGAGGTAGACCAACACATTAAGTTCCTGGAGGGTAATTACAGTAACCATCGCCTTTAGCTGGGGAGAGGCAGACATGAGGTCATTATTGGGCTGTCAATGGAGAGGGACGAAGAGGAGAGAGCCAGAGCAATTTAGCAATTGTGAATATTTTACGACACATAATTATGGTGTGGTTGGGGAGGGAAAAAAAACGGGCCGGAGTGGTGCCGGTTTGAGTGCGTGCATGCATGTGTGTGTGTTGGAGACTGCTTTCCCCCCGCACGCTGCCCAACATCATGTGTGTCTGATTATTAAGCCGCAATCATTTCTGGCCTCTCTCTCTCTCTCTCCCTCCATCAATCCCTCCTCCATCCATCTCTCTCATTCCCTCGTCGTTAAGGGTTTCGGCACCGAACAAAGCACACAGTCATGCAGAGAGAATGCGGGGCTCAACGGAGAGGTTCCAACTGACACCACAATTACACACAGCTTCTCCCTCACTGTCTCTTTCCACCCTGCTTTATCCGCTCTCCCGACGCTTTTTCTCCCTAAAACACCGACTCGCTCTGCTTTTCTACTCTTTGCATAATGTGCCCTTGTCTTCCTCTATATATGTATCTCTGTCACACGCGATTTATCTCTCTCTCGTGCTCGCCAATTAGAGCCTTACGTCTGATTCTTCACCCAAAGGCCCGTCGGGTCTAAACTGATTTTTTTTTTTTTTTTGTGAGGAAAAGAAAAACATGTTTTACCCCTTTTAATGTCTCTCTGTGGATCTCAGTATAATGCTAGTGCTATTTGCTACACAGGCAGCATGTTGGGAATTATTCCTACTGATGCGTTTTTTCTCTCTCTCTTATGCCACAGTTCAGCACACCGAGTTCAGGCACTTTGTTATCTCCAAGTACAAGCCTTTTTTGTTCCAAATTAACTGTGCTGCAAGTTGAAGGGAACTAATCAAAAACTCTCTCTCTCTCTCTTTTATTTTTTTAAGAGAACATTGCTTCCTGTATCTCTTGGACGAGTCTTCTCTCCGACGCTGACTCTTTATTTCTATCGACGTTGCTCCTCTTTCTCCGCCAAAGCGTAGAAAATACGGGGCTCGATAACCATCTGGCTGTAAGCAAACTCACTTTGAGCTTGCAATTTCAATTTCCCCCCTTTGTATTTGTGTAGATAACGACAAGACAGCAGAGAGAGGAAAGTGTGCTTTATCTTGTATCGTTCTATGAAGACGAATCAAAATGCAACTCGGAGAATACGCGAGGCTCAATCTACGGCGCTCGTCGTTGAAATTGAGCCTAAAAAAAAAACGAGTCAACGACAAATATATGTGCGACTGCATCCAAACCAGATGAATTTCCCAAGTTAAAAGACTTCCAGGGGCAGATAATCAGCATTCCTACCTCGTACTCTTGAGAGAACTTGAGATTGTCGTTCGCCTTGAGGCGCTCGGTGTGATCTGCTAGCTCAGAGATGGGGACGGGCGGGTGACTCGTCATGCCTGCCGAGCACAGAAATAGAAGAAAGAGGCCATTTGGATACATTTACAACTTTTTTTTTTTTTTTTGGAGGAAAATGTTAAAAGTGAGGATTCTCTGAGGTGGTGTTTGTTTAGTGCTCTGTCCACAGTCAGCGCAGGAAGCAAATGGGCTGGGTTTTTTTTTTTTGTTAAGTGACCATTTTCTGTCTTGGCAGACAGAAAGAACAATGTGCGTGCTCTGAAAGTTACTGAGGCACAATAATATGTCCTCGGAGTATATGCACACTGCTGGTGAAGACAAAAAAAGACTGTGACACAGGTGGTTAAAAATTTAGCATAACATTTAAAAAAAAAATAAAAAAATGTAAAAGAAGTATTCCAGAGGCGTTTTGATGAAATGTTGTCAATTCAAGCAGCTTCATCCTAGATGGGATGGAAGGTTAGTTAGCAATGACAATGGGGAAAAAAAGGGAAAGAAAGAAAGAAAGAAGGCAAGAAAATGAATGCGGTAAGACAGAAAACAGCAGAGAGTTGAGAAGATCTATGTGCGAACTAAGACCAACTAACTTGACAAACGGCGGTAGCCGCGGTACACTGATACGCGGTAGGCTGAAAAGGGGAAACGACACCACGGTTAATCTAATAAACAACCAATACTTCAAGAAAAAAACGCACATCAAACTATACGAGGTATTTGTGTCCGCGTGCACGACGGCGCAGCCGCTTTACCTGGAGTCTGGAAGTTGATTCGGCGTAGCTCCACGGGATCAGTGGGATGGTGGGACGACATGGCTTTGCTGCAGGGGAAACTGCCCTTCCTGCCCTCAGCCTCGGCCCTTTTCCTGGAATCACAGATCAACGCGCAGCGTTTAACATGCACCTCAACCCCGATGAACTGAAACCTTTTATTGCATGACAAAAAAAACAAAAACAGCTGAATCTGGGAAAATGTGCGATTTTTAATCTTACGCAGAACCTCAATTTTTGTGGGGGGGGGGCGAGGATTTGTTTTCAAATAAATCGACCAGAGTGATGTGAATGTTATAAATTTCCGAGAAAAGCTGCATAGAAATTGCTCCTTGGACATTTACAGGGATAGCTGTAATTCTTGGGAAATATCGGTTTTAAATTGTGCCAGAGCTTTGGTTGACTGCTGGTTTAGTGTTGCAGCTTTTTTATATGTAAATGGACGGCACATTGTCTGAGACGGAGGTGGAAGTCGGCTTTTTTCCAAGAAAATATAAATGTTTTACATTATCTTTTAGTTCACATCGGAGACGTGAACTCATGCAGTGCGGTTGTCATTGTTCCCTACTCTGCATGCTTTTATGCCTTATGTCTTTACCCAGTGCACTGCAGCTTACTATACAATCATCAAAAAAATAAAAAAAACATCAAGTTAATCCTGACTCTACTGGGATCTATTATCAAAAGCATTATTTGCAGAGGCTTTTCAAACGGAGAATACCCTGCAGGACAGAGGAAATGGTAATAGGTAGTGTTTGTTTACCTGTCGGGTTTGCTGGATCCAGACAGGAGAGAAGAGCAGATGAAAGGACAGACAAGGATGAATAACATTAGTGACCATTCGAGAGAAAAAAAACACCAGGGAGTAGAGCAACGTTGAACTCTGCGTTCTACCCCTCTCATTGACATGAATCACTTTCTTATTAAAATGTTCGATAAGTTGAAAAGCACCTCCTATAGACGGAGATACAAAGCTAATGTAAAGCGAAATGATTCTGCAAACACATTATGTCACAACACAGCCTCTTACTGCGACAGCTACAATATAATAACTTACTGGAAATATGTTGCAAAGTGAGACATTAATGGCTGAGGATCACCACTGTTTACACTCCGGGGCTCAAGAACTTCAGATTATTACCATCAAGGTTAATAATTCTGCACTGCCGCATCAGTCACAGTAATTTATTGCATTTGCATTAGTGCATTAACAAAGCTCTAGCCAGCAGATGACTATCATAAATAATGCCAATGAGTGATAATGTTATCTTCCACTATCCGTTATGATGACGGCCAGCTATACAGATTTTTAAGAGCAGATTACAGAAGACACACAGTTAAGTTTCTGCGGGAACCTGTGAGCACCTGTGAGCTAAACTAGTTAGTAAGCAAACAGATTGGGAAGTTAATTGTGTTGCCTGCAGCAGTGCGGCGTGTAGCAATAAATACACCTTAACGCTAGTCCTGTATGTTGCATAAATAACGGAGCCACATAACGAACCAGCTGGGCTTCGTTCAGGCGTCACGTGAGGGAAAAGTACTGCGTGAGGTTAAGAGGCTTTATTCACTTCAATCTGCGTTATAATTCATACCCCTTCTCAGAGTCACAACTCAAATCTGATCACACGATACATTTGTTAGATTCAGTGTGAATTACACTTTACCGATGATGTCATTAACTCAGATTCCAATTAGTCCATGGAAACATTATACTTGCTGTTTGCATATCCCAAAGCATTATGGGCACCGTAGTTCCAAAACCTTTCAGAGACGGTTTCCATTATTTCTTTTATAAATTTGCTCTGTCAAAGGCAATTGCTGCTGCCTGTGATAGAACAGCAAAAAGGTTAAATTATTAAATACAAACATGAAATATACTGAGGAGCAACAAGCCAAAATGGAAATGAAAATCAGTTAATCCCTGGAGAGTATTTTATTGCTCTTCTGCGAAGACCTAAACTCGATGTAATTATTTTATTTTTCTCGTATTCATCAAAACTCTTAATCCTTCTCCTCGTCTCTTTTTGATTTCCTCACTCCTTCTCTCACTAATCCCAACTCTTTATTAAACCCTTCTTTTTCATCTTCCTGGCTCCATCATGCCGTCCTTACCTCTTGAACAGGAGGATGGCGATGACGATGCAGACGATGAAGATGACAGCCAGCACAGGCCCCACCACCCACAACAGACCCTCTTCCTCATCGACGATTGGCTGAGGATCCACATCCGATGAGGTCACGGGATCAGAATAAGGGCTGGTGGCGTACATGGTCTGGAGCGAGACACGTTTTTTTGTTATACATTTAGACAAAAACTGCACCGAGATGGTCAAAAACTGTGTGTTTGAGTTTTTTTTTTACTCACGTTCTCAGAGAGGTCCAACAGCGCAAGCACAAAGAAAACATACTCCTGTCCGTTCTGCAGCGGACGGTTGCGGAAGTCGCCGTAGTTTCGCCCATCACCCAGCGTGAACTCCAGGGGGAGGGTCTTGAAGTGAGCGGTGACGTAGGCCCTCGGATCTGATTGGCCGGCCTGTCTGCGGATGCGAAGGGCGCGACTGACACTGGTCCTGTTGATCTCTTTCAGCAGCTAAAAAGAATGGACAGGGATTAACTGTTTTGGCAATTTTACCTCACACACAAAAAAAACGAATCAGTGAAAGAACAATGGGGCTGAACAAAGCATTATCGACTAAGCATGAATGTCTTCATCATCAACTGAATTGCTACCGCATTCATCCATTGAGACGGCGGGCACCATGGAAACTCTATTGAAACTAATCTCGCACACATGGATGTGCTTTCGGAAACAGCGTAATTAGGGGATGAAGTCTGTATAGAAAAAAGGCAGGAAGTGGAATTAGATGGGAAATGTTATGTGAAGGCATTGTTTGGCTTGAACAGGCCGCGGACGGCATAATGAGACGCAAATACTTTGACAACAGAGCCCTGCTCGGCCCTATTCTTTGTTTGTGTGACTTGAAAATTCAATTCAAACCACTCGAATTATCCCTTCGAGGGGCGATTTTGAGTTTGCAAACAAAAGCACAAGAGTTGAAGTACAAAAAAAAGATGAACGGTAATGGCCAGTCCATATCTGGCCAACAACATCAAACACACAGAGGCGAACAATATCAAAATCGCAATCATCATAATTGCGCCTCAACATTAGTATTACCTTATAGCAAGCTTTTTATCATGGCCATAATGTCTCACCTCATCCAGGTTCATCTGGTCGGGCTCCTCCCAGGGATTCTGGAACTTCCCTCCTCTCTGCTTCTTCAGTGGCACCACCACCACATAGTAACCCCTGAAACACACCATGCACTGGGTTCAGGTTTAAGGAAATACATAATAAAGACGACATTTTAAAAAAAGACAAAATCATTTCCGTCCCTGGAGAAACACCAGTGCTCTGACATTTAAAGGAATATTTCGACATTTTGGGAAATGTACTTATCCTTCTTTGAGAGTCATTAGATAAGAAGATGAATACCACTCATGCGGGTATGATGAATCTGAAGCGATAGCCAGCACCCAGTTAGCTTAGCCTAGCATACAGGGGGAAACAGCTAGCCTGGCTCTGTCAGAAGGTAGCAAAATCGTCTCACCAATATACACGTTGTATCTCTTTCGCTAAGCTAGTTTAGTTCAGTTGTTTTATTTATTGAGCTGAAGAGGTGCTTGTGCATTTTGTTACCCTTCACACGGAGCCAGGCTAAGTGTTTCAAGTGCTAAGCTAAGCTAAGCAGCTGTTGGTGGTAGCTTCATATTTACTTTAATGTTTTATATATACAGTATATATATATATTTTTTATTCTATTCTTTTTTTTGTTTTATAAACATCTTATGATTTATTTCTCTTACTTCTCTATTTATCTGTACTATTGCTGTCTGAGTTTCTCCTCTGGGGATCAATGAAGGTTCATCTGATCTTATCTTATCTAGGCTTCACATTTACTGCACACATCATCTAACTCTAAAGTGAGTAAAGATATTTCCTTAAATGTCAAACTATTTCTCGTTCTGCTGTAAAGAACTACAGCGTATTGTGTCATTAATTCTGTATATTGCTGCAGCAGCTGTGACACCGCATGCTAAATCCAAACAGTGTGGTTGTTTTTGGAACAGAGGGCCCCGTCTGAAGCCTCGTGTGAGACAAAAACAATAATACCACTGGAGGAGTGGAATTTCTTTGCAGAGACAGTCAGACCATAAGCACCCGCCAAGCGATCACAGGGCACTGACTCCAAAATCATCCATGTGTTCTCAATAGATGACTCACTCCAGCGCTCCGCTCCGTGCTTGCACTTGCTCACGTACGGTGCTATGCAGAAAGTAGCTTTTCTATGTCAAACATGAGACAGACAGAATTTGTTACAGTTCTAAAGATGGAATAGCGAGCGAGATGAGATAATGTGAGCATCAATCTGGCAATTCTATTTTTAGAGAGGAGGGAGATGAGTTGATCAATGGGAAACTCTCTAAAAGCTAATCACATTAAAACATTGCTTACGGTATGTTTTAATATTTTTTAATATCCGGCTCATTGCAGTTTGTGCTACTACTGTATCTTGGATTGGGGCCCTGAAAATGGGAAAGACTCTTGCAGGGCAAGATCCTGAAAGAGCAAAATCCTGTTCGGGACTCTAAAGACCCCCAAAATACTTTGGCTGAGAGAACATGTGAGTAGCAGTGGACCGGCTCAGGTTGTGCTTTCAGGCTGAGGGGCAGCTCCCACTTGCTATGTATATTTGTTCTTGGTTATGAAAAAGGCAGATGAGATTATCAGCTTTGTGCTTCCACTCGGCCTGTTCTCAGACCTGCTTTGCTGCCAACTCAAATTAAATCCCTCCCGATGGACCAATAAATGAAACGCAGCAGCTGAGGGAGGAGGACGATGTGAAATTGGAGCATATTCTGCACAGGTCACTATCAAAGATACTCCCATCTAGTCATGAAATGAAACCTAATTCCTCCCTCTTCACTCTCATTCATCATCACTACCTGACTTTGGCCGTGGTCTGCACGGTCGGCAGCTGCACGGTCACCATGCCGTCTGCGTTGGTCTTCCCCACCACCGTGGGTTTGGTCTTCAGGATGTCCGGGGCGGTGGTGGCGGTGACGCGGTGCTGCAGACCCCCGGCGCTGTTGGCCCGGTTGGTGAGCAGGAAGGAATACTGCGTGTCCGGCTCCAAGCCGGTGATCAGCTTCTGAGTCTGCTTCCCATCCACCTCCACGGACTGGCTCTTTCCATACAGGATCTGGACACGGGATGGGCCACATAGTTTGAATACACGACATAGAGTAAGACACACAATGCAGCACGTATTGTAAGTTCTCAAATAGATCCCAGTGCCTTGATTTACACCGGCAAAAAGACGTTTTGTTGGTATATATTATTATACTTTAATTACACAAAGTCTCAATGTTTTTGCCTGTTTGCCTAAACACCTCTATTTATTTGACACTAACAGCCTTCCAGCAGTTCCAGGTGCATTACAGTATGTTCCTGCAAGACTTTTTTATCAATCGTCAAACAGGAAGTGTTACATTTTATCATAAAAAAAAAGAAATAGGAAACAAATGCTTGAAAATATTAGAATACATTATGTTGAATCTACAGAGAGTTGTTGCAGAGCAGATCATTTCATTCTCCCTTTTTCCCCCCACTATCCTTTACACCCCATCTTTATTTGTTTTTTACACATTTTGAGACCTGAAATATTTGATTTCTGTTTTTTATTTACTCACATTTAAATATAATAAAATGCTAATGTACTCACGGTGAACGGCTGGGCAGGGTTCTTGTCTCGTATCTCCCAGGACAGCAGAACAGAGTTCTTCATGGCAGCTTTTACTCTGAAGTTGGTGGCAAAAACTAAAAGTACAGAAAAGAAAAAGAAAAGAAATGAACACTATTCCAGTCTCGTTTAATCTCTCTACTGAACCAAAAGTAATGGCCTTACCTGCATATCACTCCCTAGTGCCAGTCTCAAGCTAGCTACCTGCTCTGATCAACACACAGCGATACTCGCCCATGACCCAAGACTCTTACCTTGCTTTGGGAAAAGGACGTTGGGTCTAAGACTACAGTGACAAGACAACGAAAAAGGACACTTAGGATGTTGTCACCAGATGTTGTGTGTGTCTGAGTGTGTGTGTGTGTGTGTTTGTGTGTGTGTAAGTGGGACTTGTGTATGCACAAATGTGCTGTTAGGAAGTGCGTGGTGCGTCCGGAGCAGTGCAGATGGGTTGATAGAAAAGTGAATCCTACCTTGGTCTAGCCGCTGCGTCCTAAACTGGACACTTGGGCTGAACGGCCCGGGGCCAACAGCTGTGAACGCGCACAACCTGACTTCGTACACAGTATCGGCACTCAGACCCTCCAACAAAACACTCGCCCCTGGAGTGGGCACCGCGACCTCCGAGGCGTTCCCTCGACTGTTTATATCCTTGTACAGGACAGAGTACTTGGTGATTTTCCCGTTTTGCTCAATCAGCGGGACCGATTTCCACTCCAGCCGGAGGGAGGTGGCAGACGCCTCCTCCGAGATGATATTTTCTGGGTATCCACTTGGGGCATCCTCCGGAGTGGTCAGCTCCTTGACGGCCTCCTCGCCGTAGCCCATTTTGTTACGGGAGGACAGCCTGAACACGTAGTTGGCTCCCTTGTGGACGTCCTGGGCGGTGTAGCGGTTCTCCTTGGTAGGGAACTCCACCACCGTGAAGGGGAGGACGTCGACGCGTCCGAAGGTGAGGCGGTACCCGAGGAGCGGGGTGGGCAGGTTGGGCGGCGGGTACCACTGAAGCAGAGCCGTACCTGAATCGGTGGCGCTCACAGTCAGTTTGGGCTTCTCGGGCACTACAAAGAGTGGAAACAGGGAGGGAGCAGGAGAAAGAGAGGGACTGATGAAAAGATAATTAGGGAATAATTGCAAAGTGCGTTATTTGTAACCTCGAGCGAAACTGCAAAATATGATTAACACGGCACCAAGCGACTGGCTTCTTTCTGGGCATATCAAGGTGTGACAGAGTGAGACGTGAAGCAATTCAGCGATTTAATGGCCTCTAATGATCATTAGCGACGCTTTGGGCTCAGAGATCATTAGTGTGTGTGTGTGTGTGTGTGTGTGTGTGTGTGTGTAGTCTGCGCGGACACACTTACGTGGCAGGGCGCTGCAGACGGTAACAGGTTTGCTGCGAGCGCCGTCGCCCTTGGCAGTGTAAGCCCCCACCGATACAGAGTAGGCGGTGTCTGCCTTCAGGTCTCCGAGAACCACCTCCTGCAGGAAAACAAAAAGCACCGTCAGCATCAAAACGGAATCTATTTCTGTGTGCCCTCAGGACATGGAGCAGGGCTATTATTTAATAAAAAAACAACAACAACAGTCTGGGTCAAACTGGTTAAAAAAGATACAATTCTGTGCCTGTACGTGACAGATATTCAGCTCTTTTCTACGCCAACAATGCTTTTCTGAGTCCGGGAAGTTATTTTCACTTCTTTTATAACTTAGATGCTGCTTTTGGAAACTGTAGACTGGAAATCATCTCAACACAACTCAATACAACTATATTAAATTATCCCAACGGAGCTCAAAATGTAGTTCACGAGCAACACAAAATGCCATTTAACCACGCAGACACTCAAAACTCATTTAGATCGGTCTCCATCTAAACACCAAACACAATATTTTCTTCATTTCTTGGCCTGCGGAAAGCATAAATAATGGTATTTTGGCAATACTTGCGGGTGACTCACATCATCAGTTATCGATGTGTTTTTTGTTTTATTAATAAATTCTGGAGAACACACAATGCAGAAATGAAAAAAGGGACTTCCTGCTGGGATTTAAGCCTTCACCCAGTTTATAGGAGATTTTAAACTACAATCTCATAAATATGACTCATCTACTCTCTGTGCTTTGTTGTTTTCACTATTAAATAATAAGCTTAAAAAAGGGGTTTACTCACATATTCAGCTGAGTCACCATGTTCCCACTAAATAGCAGCATCAAGAAAAGAGAAAAGGAAGAGAAAAACACAATGCATTAATATTTGGTATGTAATCTGAAAGACCAAGTGTCAAGTCCAATGCACCATCTTATACTGCCATAGCAGTATAAGCTTGAAACTATCAGCAGTAATTGGCAGTTATAAATAGATTTAGGTCCATTATTTATCCTGGACAGAGATCCAATAATGCTGGAAATGAAAAGAATCAAGACTGAAATACACTTTGCTTTGCTTTCTTGTCAATAATTAGATGAGAAAATAGATACCGCTCACATGTCTGTGTGCTAAGTACGAAGTAAAAAGACTGTGAAAATGGTTTGATCGAACAAACGAGATATAACGTGCTAATTAGTGAGCTTTAGAGGTGCTGGTGGAGAAGGGTTTCTCCCCCTTCTTCCCTTCATTACTGGAAGCTAAGCCAACCGTCTCCTGGCTATCGATCTTCTCATCTAACTCTCTGCAAGAAGGCAAACAAGCAGATTTCCTAAAATGTAAAAATGTTCGTTTGAAGTCATCTTATTAAGGAAGGTTTATGCTCAATATGTCAATTTATTTGGCACCGTTCCTCCATCCTAACTATTTTATAGAGGAAGTTGATGGGACAGATTGCTTCATTGTGATTTGTGTAGTGCAGAAAATAAAAGATTCATCTTATCTAGAGTTATACGTAGATGGCAACATGCTGGCTTTCTCATCTATAATAAATATATATCCAGCTAAACCCATGTGTCTAGGGAGCTTATCATTTATTCATGGCTCTAATGAAACTATTAAATTAACATGTTAAATTGCAAATTTGCAATGAATATAACTGTGTAATAGAAATATGGTAATTGTGATGAAACAGTTTGTGATCACGAGGTGTTGGAGAGCATATGTTCGTTTTACCTGAGAGTCCTCTATGAGGATGTCCTTGATGAACGGCTGACCCTGAGGTTCTCCGTAGTTCATCCTCACATAGTGGACTTGGTAGCCTCGGACCTGACCGTGCTGCCGTTCGGGTGCTGGTGCTCGCCATTTCACCCTAACGGCCGAGGCGTTCACAGTCTCCGCCTCCACCCCCCGCGGAGGACCACTTGGAACTAAAAAACGCATTTTAGGATAGAGGTCAAGGGTCACAGATGATGGGCACTCAAACCTCTAAAGGCCTCCACTTTGTCTAATCAAAAATATACTGGATTCCTGGGCAGATTTAAAAAAAAAAAAAAGATTCCCAAAAGCTGAAAAAATGTAAAAATACAACCCTCCAAAAAGTCTGAAACTGCTCTGATGTCTGGGGAAAAAAAGTCAAAATAGTAAAAAAAAAATAAAAAATGAGAGTGCTTGAGGAAAAACATGGAGTAAAAAAGCAGTGGAGGATAAGAAGCAAATGTAGAGAAAGATAAGAATGGCAGATAGAAAAGGATTTGTTGCCATGGGCAGATAAACAGTGGCAGGCAGTCAAAGAGAACCTCCACTCGTGCTGCCAAGAACTACACTTCTCCCTCTATAGATACTGAAAAAAACTGGAATCTCTCCAAACTAGAAAAATGGAGACATTGAGAGTATAATGTATTGAGCATAAATAACAAAAAATATTGCTGAAATATTACAAATTACTCAAGACACAGTAAAAAATACAGAGATTAAAGTTAGATTAAAAGATATTTAAAGAATTGGAGAGGAGTTGGAAGGGCATGTGAGAAAAGCCATGGTGTGGAAAGGCCAAGGTACGGCTACAGCCAGAGGGATTGGTTTTGATATCGTTAGTGGAGAAGAAAAGTGGGAAATCCCAACCACCCCTCATCCCAAAAAATGGAGGATTTTATGAGAAAGGGAAAAAGTGCGGAAAAAAAGATGCTGGTAAGAAAAAAAGAGGGTAAAATTTGATGAAAAAAGGGCTGCTGCTGACAAGAGAATGCAGTGGTGAGGGAGTAGCAGGAAAGGTGTCCGGATGTTGGAGGTTTCTGGCGGTTATGAAGGAATAAAGGAGAGGTTTTCAAAACAGAATGGTCGGAGTGGTTCCTAAATGCATCATCCATTTAGATTGCCAAAATGCTTTAACTGGCCAGTGGAAGAAACTTGCTGTTAGTTGAGGGTGCACTGAGCTCATTGGTGCTATATTAGTGAGGGAGCCATTGTTAGAGGTACGGACCGTCTTAAGACAGGCAGGGGGGGAGGTTTGTTTGGGAACATACCATCTTCCTCGGTGCGGATGAGCAGCTGTAAACTCTCCGGTCCGTCGCCGGCTTCCGTCTGCGCCCGTACCGTTATGCCATACTCAGTCCATTTCTCCAGGTCTTCCAGGAGATACGGAGAACTCTCCGGAGGAATTCCGTCAACACTTTTAGATATTTTGTTGCCCTCGGTAGTGGAGTACTGGATGGAGTATCCGGTGATGACGCCGTTTTGAAACTCCAGAGGGGGTGGAGCCCAACTTACCAGAATGCTGGTAGAGCTGGGACTGGCGCATGTGATGTCCTGGGGAGGCGCTGAAGGAACTGATCGACCAGTTTCGAGGAAGCACAGTAGAGGGTGTGTGTGTGTGTGTGTGTTGTTTGGGTAAATGTTATTCAGTCATGTGTGTTTTGTTTGTGCGTGAGTGTGTGTGTGAGGTCGTTATCGGTGGGTGGAGAGGTGAGGAGGTGAGGTTTGCCGTGAAGGAATGGTGGGATGATATTGAGCAGACGAGAGACAGAGAACAAAAAAAAGACAAAGAAACATAAAATGAAAACAAAACACTGGAGAACGGAAAGCTCTTATGACAAAAAAATGACCCTGTGACTCGAGAGCAAGATGGCTGAACAAAGATACTGAACGATGGGTGTCCGCTTCTGTTCGGTCGGAATGTTTTGAGTGATGGAAACGAGTGGATGACTTAAAAAAAAAGAGATGCGACACAGGAACGTTGACTAGAGCGTTAACACACAAACATACCTGCCCATAGCTTACTTGTCCTCACAGCCTACCCAAGACTCTGTGATCCATGCTGGAGTTCTCATCTCTATCTAGCTTCTCAGCCTCCTTACCTTCGTTTTCACTGATTTTCTCACAGACCTCAGATTGCTAGCCAACAAATTAAGTTTCGCTACTTTTGCTGTCAATTATCAACAAGCTGTCCGGTACTATGTTTTGCCGAAAATACCGCATTTGGGATTAAGTTCTGGGAATTATTTAATTCACGATGTATTTGTTGGAATCAAATCTGAGGTCGGTCAAGGTCTGGATCCACGAGGGCCCTTTTTGTTGTGACAATGCAAAAAAATAAACCTAACTGCCAAATGTCTTATCAAGTACTGTTTGTAACACGATGGTCAGATCTAACGTTTTGTGTATTTGTGATTCGGTTTTTGTGCCAGTTGTCATTTTTGCATTGTCAAAATTGAAACCACACTCTCTCTCTCTCTCTCTCTCTCTCTCTCTAACACACACACACACACAACAGTATTGGGACCTACGCGTCTGCGGTGTGTCGATGGACACCTCGTTGGTGTACGCCCCAATTCCATGCTTGCTCCTGGCAGCCAGCTGGAAGGTGTAGGTGGAGAAAGGCTTCAGGTTCTTTAACAGGTAGGAGGTGGTGGGCTCAAAGCTCACTTTCTTCTGAAAGGACATGAAGAGAAACGGAGAACAGTGGAATACGCAGGTGGTGAGAAAAAAAAGGTTGCGTTAACTTTCCCCCCACAGTGTTCAAACAGAACAGGTAACTTTTAATGTTAAGATCAATTAATCTTCTGTTTGGCAACCCTTCCATCTATTCATTAAAACATTTCTGTAATCTGTTATCGTCCATGAATTTACCAGCAAAACTCTCTCTCTCAGCTACCAATCTGTCTGTTTCCCTCTTATTTTACCTCCTCTGTGTCGTCAGCTCGTCGGTAGACCAGTTCATATCCCGTGATCTGGTTGTCGGGGCCACCCTGGGGTGGGGCGACCCAGGACAACAGGATACTGGTCTCGGACTTGGCCTCGCCCTTAAATTCCGAAGGTTGGGATGGAACTGCACAGTTGGGGGGGAAAACCAGGATTAGTAAAACCATGCTCAGATACTTTCTTTCTTTTATTCTTGCAGATGATAATTGCGGTAATTTAGATTATAGTATGCATGGCAGATCTGTCTAATACAAGCAGAGCCCGACATCCCTCTCTTACCTCCGGTCTTGGCTATGATCTGCAGGTCCTGGGACAGGGGTCCATCTCCTACGGAGGTGAAGGCCAGCACTCTGATGTAATAAGTCTTGTTGGGAGTCAGACCCTGGATGGTGATGAAGTTGGCGCTGCGCACCATCTGCTTCTCCCACTGCACGACACACATCGCAATGCATGAATGCAAGCAGACACACAGACGGACACTTGAGTGTTAGACGCAATGCGGACGTCACAGGCCTTTGGTCCCCTGTCTTTGATAATAAACAGGTACCCACCTGGTTGACTGGCAGCAAGTTGTCTGAGGTGTAGTAGACTCTGTAGCCCACCACCTGTCCGTTGGGTTCCTCTGGTTCATCCCAGTGGATGATTGCCGTTGTGGTGCTCAGCATACGACCTCTGACCTGCAGGGCGAAAACAGGAGGAACTTCATCGGAGCTGCTCTGGGATAAAATGTACTGGAGCAACTTGGGTTAGTTTTATGGAGAACTAAAGGCAACATTGCATCTTTGAATGTCCCATTTCTAGTTAATAAATGGCATGCGGTATGGAATGGAATGTGAATTTGCTTTGTCCTTATCAAACCCTGACCTGCCGAGGAGGCGAGGAGGGGGCCTGCTCGGCTGTGCGGGCCTCCACCACCTCGCTGGAGGGGCCCTGGCCAATGGTGTTGACGGCCGCCACCCGAAAGTCGTAGTGGGAGTATGGGCTGAGGCCGCCCACGCTGTAGCGCGTTGTGGCGATGCCATCGATCTCCTTATAGGGATCCTCTGACCCTTTGGCACGGTGCTGGAGGAAGCGAGAGAGGAAGAGGCATGAGACAACTATATATATATATATATGTATATATATTTATATATATATATATATATATATATATATATATATATATATGGGCTATTCCACTGAATCGGTGCCATTGTTATCCTTTGTCAGCACTGTATTTAATAACACACATGGTTAACGATTCAAAATGTGTAATGGTCAATGTCAGGCAATTTCTATTAAATGGAAGATTGTTCATATAAGTAACAGGACTGATATTTTAGCATAGCATGAGCAAATACATGAAATGTAGTCACATGACATCACTAAGAATTGCATGAGAACACTTGGCATCTTCGAGTGGTTAAACAAAAATATTTTTAAAAAACAACATCTGAGAAATAATTTCAGGAAGTTGAGATTGACATTCTCTGTCATACTTACAATGTAATCAAAAATAAAGACAATGGAGCAAGAAAACTTGCTTTTGGTCTGAACTTGGCCTTCAGGAGACTGAAATGATGCTACTTCCTGTTGATCAAGTGACCAAATTATTTACGTGGGGAACGTGTTTGGGCAACAGGACAGGAGTGATAACCTGGGAACGCGACTGAAATGTGTATTTCAACTAACATATTATGATATTTCTGATGGGAAATGTGTTGGTCTGTCTAAATTGTCACACAATAATAAAAAATAAAATATTCTGAAGGATTCTAATCATGATATTTCATGGTGGCGTGTGGTGTTAGAGAGTGGGGAGGCTAAAAGCCTATTTCTTCAGTGTTCTAGGTCGTTTTTATTAGGGATTTACATGATGTATCAAAATGCAATTAGGACAAAGTGCAGGACACTTTTGCTTGATATAATGTGTCATACACTTTTCATGCATATTCATGGCGACGGAAAGGGCACCGATTTGGTGGAACAAGGAATGGCCCGAATATATAGTGTGACACCAATAAACCGCAAACACCATGATGCTCTTATTAACCAACTAAGATCTCTGCCAAAACCTCCAGAATATATGAGATATGAAATATATCTAATGTGGGTGAATTCAGTCATTACTTTGATGCAGCGGCTCATCTTTCATTCTTAACACTTCGATTCATTAACTCCTCGGGGCCAGAGAGCACTCCAGACACCTGATTTCATTTGAGCAATTTGGTGACTTTATTACTACTATTACTATTATCAGTTTATGTTCATATAAAAATGTAGTGCAGCTGCGTCTCAAAAAGACCCCGTGTGCACAAAGCAGCTGCGCCTCTGTGTCGTCTGTTACACACCTGTATGATGTAGTAGGAGACAGGCTCGGGGTTGCCGGAATCCCAGGTGAGTGTGATGCTCGTTGCAGTTCTCTCCGTCACCACGGCGGTACCAGGGGCCTTCGGCAGAGCTGAGAGAGAGAGAGAGAGAGAGAGACAGAGAGAGAGAGAGAGAGAATTTACAAAACTATCCCTTTATCATGAAGAAATCATCTGATAGACTCAGATTTACACCGTCACTTTGTACTCATAAAACTAGAAAATCAACTTCTTCTGGGTAAAACTTTTAAACGACGAGACCAGCTCAATATCCCGAATTAAACAATGAACATAATCTCCAGAAACAATAACAAGAATTGGACAAAAACGTGTGATTTTAACTGGTTAATCAGTTCAACTCTTTGATAATCCAAATGAAACCCCCCTGTATATTGGAAAGTTGAATTAAATACAGACATAGTGATCATAAATAATTACTGAAACAGGTCCCTATGAATTATAATTTATAAAACAGAGTTTTGAAAGAGAAAAACGTATTCGCCAATGTGAAATTTAATTGTAATTCAACTCAAATAATCCAGTCTTTCCTCTTCCTCTTCTGATTCTGAAGATTTCTCAGAAATCAGTAGTTGATGTATTCAAAGCACTCTGTAACACTACCTTGTTATGTATTCATAACAACTCGTCTTATTTTAAATTTCTTTTGTGATGGAAATGTTCTCCTTCGTGTGCTACACATGAAGCGCTCGTTCAGAGAGAGAAGACAGAAGGCCACGCTGTGGTTTCGTCCTCTCTGCACACAAAAAAAACCCCAAAGTCTCACTGGAGGCAAGGTCAAACCATCACTTCCTCTCTTGCTCACACTCTCTCCTGTCCTCACCTATAAGCCTCATCACGCGGCCGCACGAGGAAACCCACCTTTCACGGTAATCTGCGCCACCGCCTCGATCACGCCGAGCGTCGACATGGCGACGCACGTATAATTGTTGGACTGGCGCACGTCGGTCAGCTCCAGGACGTTGCGGCCGATGGGCATGTCGTCCTCGGGCGTCAGGTCCTCTGCCCCCAGCATCCACTTCACGTACGGCATCGGGGAGCCGACGGCGACGCAGGTGATGTTGACGTTCCCCCCCGGCATGATCTCGCTGTCCGCTGGGGGGATGGAGAAGCGAGGGGGGACGCGGCGCACTGGACCGGACAGCGATGAAAGCGGGGAGGCAGGAAGAGAGGGGCGATTAGAAATTCATAACTGTGTTGCTGAGGTAAAGTGCAGAACAGCGCATAACAATCAGTGTCCATACACCCTGGGATGATTTTTTTTTTCTTTTCCATGTGCTCTGAAGATGAAGTTTTATGGTATTAAAATGTGATATAAAATTGTTTTATTCATGGCGTTTTTAGGTGTGCTCCATTAAATATGTTATGAACTGAGACACAAAAGATACTCACAAAAAAAACCTCAACTCACTGCAAACACACATGCACTCAGGGGGGGGGGGATAACAGAGAAAAAGAGGAACGCAGGGTACAGGGCAGCAAACTGTACAGGCAGGGTTAAAACCTTCAGCGCCGCACATAAAAACAGCCGAGACACACAACACAAACGGCAGTTTAATGGAAGGACAAGGAAATACTCGGGAGAGACTCAAAAAGAGCCACACAGTCGTTACTGTACCAACCTTCTCGCAGCTCTGCAGAGGGGAGGGAGGACAGCGGGAGGAGGAGGAGAGAAAGAGAAAAAGGAAGACAGAAATGTGAGGAGAGCAAAGAGAGAGAAAACACAGCGAGTCCATAGACGGCCGGCGAAAACCTGTGCTGTTTAAGGCGGCAAACCGCAGCCGGCTGTCTCCATGGACCGCCTGTCAAACACTCACTGAGCAGCACTGCAAGATTTCACCGGCCCTGCGGGCGCTGTTAGGCGCACATCACTGCATCCGCACGCGTGTGTGCGTGCATGCTGTCCGTGCACGTGTGTTTATGTGTTTTTATTTTAGTGTAGCACAAATGTGTGCGTTTCTGTGCGTCCTTCCAGTCGCGTGTGTGTGTGTGTTTGTCTCGTAAACCCCCGGGAGCAATGTTAGGAGTCGGAAAAAGCATGCTCCACTGTTTAAAGCCTTTATTTATTTCATTTTCCAGGGGTGGGCAGAAAATGGAGCAAAAGGCCACGGGAATCAAAATGTCTCTCCGAGATTCAAACATGCGGTGGGAATGCTTGTGCGTGTGCGTTTGCGCGCCCGTTTGTGTTGAAGGAGACAGCGCCTGAGGAGGTGAGATGCCTGTCAGATTTTGGGGGGGAAACAGCAAGTCTTAACCAGACAATGATTTGTTTTGTTTTTTTCTTCTCTCTCCAAAGGTCTAAAGGCTAAGAAGGGAGGGCAGAGAGATTAATAGCCGGAGTGAAACATTCAGGCCGCCCTCAACTGATGTGGAGCTCTCGCTTTAAAAAACAATCGCCCAGGTTTTATGGCTCCGCAGCTCAGAATTATAAAACACAGGAGTTTTACAGGCACCATAATCACATTAATAGGACAAACGCACATTCCTAGCAGAAGACGTTATGTCAAAAAATGTCTTCTAGGAATAAATGTCCCAATCTGCACATCAATGCGATCCTTAAGTCTAAGTGTTCTAATTGGACCAATTATTTATTATCCTCTTCTTACCTCTGACATAGAGGTTAGCTGGAGTGGAATAGCGTGTCCCATCGCTGTTGGTGGCGACACACTCATACTTCCCCTGGTCTGACTCCTCGCTCATCTCTATCTGGAGGGCACCTGGATGGATGGAGGGATGGAGAGGAAGAGTAGGAGAGAGAGAGAGAGAGAGAGAGAGAGAGTCGCACAGAAGGATAGCGAGGAAGAAAGAGCAATTACACAAGGGTGGAGGATATCAGATAATTGGGTATAGTCCATAAATACACAGACATAGAAATGGTAAGAACTGCACAAAGTGTAAATGAATCGGAGGGAGTTTTTTTCAGCGAAAACAAGCTGAACAAAGGGCTAAAAAAGGGAGACCAAATCTATGGGAGACATTACCAAGTTTCTACCACTGTCAGCAAGAATCTGCCCAAAACAAGGGGTCAGCTTCCTGATTTAGAGATGGGAAGGAAAAAAAAGAAGAAGAAAAAAGCACTGATACAAAGCCTAGAAAAAACGGAGAATGTGGTCTTCATGCAAGGCAGAAACAAATCAACCAAGCAACCAAAACGGGAAGAGATCCAGTCACCAATACCGTATTTTTTTTAAATCCTTTGCTGAAAATTAAGATGCAGTTATTTATATTAGGGAGCAAATAATGTTTCAGTTGTCAAGGATATAATGTGACAAAGATATCGCCATGGCGATATGATATCCCCAACCCTTACGGATCCACCAGTGGGATCAGGAGTGTGATGTCATTTTAAAAAACACACCCAATACGGAGGCACAGACATTAAACGACCTCAATAAAAGGCCACAGGTTAAAAAATTAAAAAATCAAAAAAAATGGAACGACATACGGAAAGCCTTGGGAAGGGCCCGACGCTTTCTCTCTCCCTGAAAATAGAAAAACTGTCAAAAAAGTCAACCAGAGGGTTCTTTTAAAGATGGTGTGGGAAGGCAAAAAAGCGCCCAGTAAAAACTTTATCAAAAAAGTGGTTGTTTGGGGCTTTTTATCGGTGATGAGAGAGAAAAGAGAAAGTAATGGTTGAAAAATCATGAAGAAATGTGTGTGTGTGTGTGTGCACGTTCGTGTGTTTACGTCTGCGTGAGCACACTAGTGTCTGCGCGTGTGTCTGAGTCTTCGCCATCTGGACTTTTCAGGTTGAGCGAATTAACAGCTGGGAGGGAAAACAAAACCGGGACGTCTGATTGGGCGAATATAGACAAGGTAGAAAGGAGAGGCCGGGTCAAGCTTAGGTTTAGACCCTCGCACGAAAAAAAAAGAAAGAAAGAAAAATAAAAAGCAGATAGAGGTAAAAGCGATAGTATGCTTTGCCACCTCAAACTAAGCGACCAAGAAATAATTCAATATTCTAAACAAGTCATGCTTTCGACTGAAAACAAAGTAGATGTAAAACAAAGCGAAATGATGTTAAACTGGATACAAAAGAGAGACCACAACATGGCGAGGAAGGAAGCGATGGGTTTCTGTATTGTAGAGCGAACATTGAGGCTGAGATGGAGAAATGAACGGATGAAGAGAGGATGAGAGATGTGAAGAGGGGAGGTGATTGTAAAAGGCATAGTATAATGAATTGCTTGCTCAATTCCAATTCCCCCCTTCTTGCACCTACTGCAGATCTGATCTGAAGCAGCCGGATGAGTATCGCCAATATAGGAAGTCTTTTGGACTAAACGTGCATTGATTAATCCACCCGGAGCTGCTTTTTTTTTTTCAGATCCGCGAGACAAGTAGGAAACCAGGGGGTTGGAAAGGAATCAGCCCACTGTGTCATGTTGGTCCTCCCAGCAGTCTTACCTCGTATGGGCGTGCCACCTGAGTGGGCAATGAATGCACGAGATTAGAGAAGGAGAAGAAGAAGAAAGTGTTAGTACCAACGGGGGAGAAAAGCGGGGGTAAGGGAGGGAGGGACTGGGATGGGGAGGTAACTTGGAGAGGAGAAGAATCAAATTAGAGAGGAAGACTCAAAATATAGATCCTTAAGAGTGAGTGAGAGGAAGAAGAGAGAGAGAGAGAGAGAGAGGAAGAAGAGAGAGAGAGAGAGAAAGAGAGAGAAGCATAAAAGAGGAAGACAGAATAAGAGGAGAGAGAGACAGAAACTAGACAGACAGAGTGACAGAGCTATAAGGAGATGGGTTATTGATTTGACTTCATTGACTTGCAGCAGGGGCAGATGTGGCTGTAGGAGTGGGGTGGTGTCTGCACTGCACTCATCTATGGGTCTCTAAGTGGTGGACTGGGACTCCAAGTGCACTTCACTTCCCTGAGACTTAACCTCAGAATCAGGTGTGATCCTGCCAGTGTTATGGTGTGTAAATATATTTAATGTCGAAAGGAAAAAAAATCCACCCTCCAATACTGAAACTCCGCAAAAAACACGTCACTGTCCCTGCGTTGCGCTTCGATCGATTTTTATTGTCTGGCATCCCTTCCAACTACAAACCAAGTCTGACAGCAGGGACATTTTCAACAATCAAAAAGACAAAACATCAGCGGTAAATGTCAAGAGGATGTCTCGGCCCCTCACAATCAAAAAGAGCAAGGATGTGTTTGTCGACTCGATGTCTTAAACCGACCGTCGGCATTTAAAAAAAAAGAGGCAGGAGCGGACTTTGGCGGACCAGGATGCAATGTGGCCGCTAACGGTGGAGATCCGCCAAATACGGGCCAACAAGCGGAAAAAGACCCGACGAAACCCCAAACGGCCCGGGTTTGCCAAATTTTTACGTTTCTTCCAGCCGAACAGTGAACCAAAAATATCTTTTTTTCTTGAAAAATTTGAGGCGAGAAAAAAGCAATGCAGTAACAGAATATCGATTCCTTTTTTTAAAAATAATCAACGCTGCCTGGTTCGACTGTTTGATCCGAGTTTCGCGAGCCTGCTGTCTTATGATGGCCGGACTTCATTTGCATCAAGCTGAGGTCCAGTCGTGATTATGCAAAATCACAATGCCCCTGAACTGAATGTGACATCTTCAAATTTGCTTGTTTTGCACAACCACGAGTCACATACCCTCACAGTTTACCATGGTGAAAAAACAAGAAGAAGAGAAAAAAGCAGCAAATTGAAGTAGCCAATGTCAAAAAGTGATTTATATAACAGTGAACCCGTACTGAAGGGCGGGTTTTTCTTGAACTACTTCACTTGTCTGTCTCTATTATGGTGATGTTAAAAGCTGCATGTGTCCATTCGCTACCTCTGAGCAGCACTAACAATGTTCAGCTACACTGCACTGTCAACCTCTCGGAGTCTGAAGCCTTGGTGGCCATTGATCGCCTTAGGGCGGCTCCGCCAGAGGCCTACTACCTACCGGCCATCTGGAGCTGATGGCTTATTGACTGGTAACTCTATGCAGCAGGGCGGTGTGGGGAGAGTAAGTGGGTGAGTGGATGACAGAGTGAGTGAGCGAGTGAGTGGGGAGGAGGGGGGAGGGTAATCGAAATAAGTGGAAAAGTAAATAGGTGAGTGTGAGGAGAGAGTTATTTGTAAGTATTTTGGGTGTGGAAAGGCTGCAGGTGCACAGGTGAGGGTGAGACCAGCTACCTCTAAGGTGACAGAGATATGTGTGAGTAAATATACATGTATGAATATATGAAATATATAGACATATATTTGTAGATATGTGTTTTTTATTTCACCAGAATTATGTATAGGTGCCTGCAGACGTCTATGTGTGTGTGTGAGAGCATCTGTGCTTCGTATTATCTCTGTGTGTGACTGTTAGTAAAATGCATGCCATGCATTTTAATAACACCTCAACATTGTAAAAGGTGAGCAGCAGCAGGAAGAGTAGCAGCATTTAGTGAACAGTATAAAGAAGAGTGGACAGTGAGGGTATGGGCCTCGGAACAGAAGCACTTACCAAAGGACTCTGTGGTTAAAAAGATACAAAGAGAAAAGAAACAGCATAGACATGGCATTACAATCGGACCATTGGTTACACAGAGGAGTTGACTTAGTAGAAACACCTTGTAAAAGCACTGGAACTCCAAAAAATAAAGTAAAAAAAGTCATGGATATTGATTATCTAAACAAAATTTTGTGCTTTCAATAATCGTAAAAGTTGTTTGTAATCATCATGTCGAAGAAGCAAAGCTAACATACCAAATATTTGACATTTAAAGCTCAACAATTGTGTAAATCTTAAAATAAATCCTGTATATGTATTTTTCTGTAAAAATAAAGGTATAAAAAGGGGGTCTGAGCAGAGCGTTAAGGGTTGAGCCAGATAATTAAAAACACAAAACAACGGGGACAGAGGCGAAGAGGTTGTTATCCATAAAGAAGCCAGAGAGTTGGGTGTCCAATCACAAGAGAGGGATTTTGGGTCCAGAGTTGTTCCCTGGAAGCAGGAGGACTGAGAAAGGAAGGGGACTTTGCTAAGACGAGTTGGGATTTTACACACTACTGTGGCTATCGAGGAGCTGATTGAGAAATCATTTGTTCTCTTGTTTATTTTTCCCAAGTAATGTGTCTTTGAATTTAACACATTTACATCAGTCCATTTCCTCAAACGTCATGGATGCCACGTCCGTGAGTCAATTTCACACCCACTCAAGACGCACTTTCCATGAAATGAGGAACAACAAAAGGTTATTGGTTCGTTTAGTCACAGCAGTGAGCCATCTTTGAGAGGACATTCCCTCGGTGCACGCCACCATCACCTGGGTTTAAACTTGCGAATTCTGTCAATAGAGAAAACTGTTTGCGACTAAGGACATGTTTTTACAAATGTTTCGAAAAGTTTGAACTAAACCCTTTCCGTGATGGCGATTTGCACGGGGAAGACCTCAGAGAGTTTGGATTGAAACGTTGGAAAAGTTCACCGTTCAAGGCTTTGAAGAGTTTAGAAAAAAGTTGGCAACTACACACACACAGTCAAAGTCATACCACAGCGGCAGAGAAAACACAGCCAGAAACCACGGCGGGAGGAGTGCGGAACAGCAATAAGAAAAGGGGTGAACGAGGGCAAGAATAACAGATGGGGGAACAGAAAATAAAAAATGGGTTGGGGGGGAGGGGTCGGCTATTGGAAGAAGGATAAAAGCAAAGTGGGAGGGGGAAAAAATCCGTAACATGGAAATAAAAGCTTGGGGTTGAGGGAAAGAGGGAAAAAACATGAAGGGATCAAAAGCGTTAGTTACCTGAGCGGAGCTGCTTGATTCGTCCGTTGTTATTGGACGTGTTGACCGGCAGGAAATCCTTGAACCAGGTAATTTCTGGGTCAGGGTTGCCGCTAGCGGCGCAGAGCATAGTGGCGGTCCGGGAGCGCTCCACCACTTTCAGCTGGGGGCCCATGTCTATGGTGGGGAACCCCGAGGGCAGCTGGTCCTCTATAGAGAGATCAAATACACCAGTCAGACAGAGCTGCTGAACATGTTTCACATGGGTTCATTTGAATGGTTTATTACACAATACATAAAAGTGTGTATTGTTACTGTGTATATTGATGCTGGAACTGTCAACGTTAAGGCTTCGCCTCTGTTTTTTCAGTGGGTTTGGTCAACTTTGCATGAGTTGCTTGATGATTTTGGAAGCTGCAGTTTATTGAGCTAAACATGGTGGGAAATATTAGAAACATTTGGATTTTGTTACTTTCAGACAAGAGCCAGACTTGCCGTTTTCCACGCTTTCTCTTATGCTAAGCTAAGCTAACGGACTGCTGTTCGTAGCGATTCGTATTGAACAGATAGATATGAGAGTGCCATCAGTCTTCTCACCGAACTCTCAAGCAAGAAAGCGAACAAACGCATGTCCCACAATGTCAAAGCATTCATTTTTGTTCAAGTCGTGCATTCGAGACGCCCTCAAAGCAGATGGTCGACGTTCAAAACAAGACGAAACACGACGCTTCGCACTTGCAGAGACACAGCTTCAGGCCTGAACTGACGCCAAGCAGGTTGAGTCACTAGTCCAGTGTGAAGAAGTTTTTTAAGGAAACGACTGGAGTCCAATGCGGGAGTCGTAATAGGTTTCGAATCGGCTTTGAGCCCGGAGGCAAGACCGCGGACACGACAGTGAGGTCAAATAGAATGAGTAACATTTCATTCCACCTGACAAACTATCTCACAAAAAAGCTTTAGGCGATCACTCCTCAAATAAGAATCAATTTAAAAATCAAATGCTCTATTCCGCTGGGACTCAGTAACAGCTGAGCCACGCGTTTTGTCCCGCTCAGTCTAATGCACACGACCTTCTCGGGGAAGCTCACCACCCTTTGTATGAATCAAACAGGCGAGTCAAATAAAGACGCCTCCGCTGGGACCCCGGCACCCCCTTTTTATTTTATTTTTTTTGGGGACGACAAATCAAATGCGAATTCCGCCGACATCCGGGGCGATTAGATCAAGCACGAGGAGTCGCTCCGCTGTGATGAAGGGAAATCAAAGGCAGCGGGCCAACTTCATTCAGCTGAAGTGGGAGAATTGAGGGAGAGGAGGGGACAATGCTTCGAGGAGGCAGGGAATCAAAGACGTCTGAACTGTATTCACTCATAGAATGAAAGGGGTTAGGAGAAAATCTGCTTTGAAAAACTAATTCTGTACTTTCGTTCAAGGCCGCACTCTCCAGCAGAGGTAGAATGTCAGATTCACCAGTCATCCATAATAAAGTGGATAAAGACAATCCTGATGAATGTGGACCGATGAGCTAGGCATCCCTGCGTGTGTTTGTATTTGATGTAGAAGGCAGTCTATTGTAATTTTCTTTCTTTTTTCTTTACCAAGAATCCCCCGTGACTTCATCCCTCTCAACCACACAGAGCCTCATTAATGGGAAATCCTAGCGCGGAACCTCGCCAAGGAGATGCTAATTCTGGTACCAGCCCATCGAACCGTAGCCGACGGGTCGTGAGACACTAGGCTTTGCGAGAGCGAGCGAGCATGTGTGTGTGTGTGTGTGTGTGTGTATGTGTGGCCTTTTAACAGCTCTGGTTTCAATCAATCGCAACGCCCCGACAAATGGAATCACGGACATAATAAACCGGGAGGACAAGATCAGAAGGGGTTTGTGTGTGCGTGTGTGTGCCAGGGTGTTCTGTTCTGCGTGGACGTGTGGAGAAAGAGGGCAAAAGTGCAAAAAGAAACAATGGACACAAGAGTGACAGGAAGGAAAATAGAGAGAGAACAAGGGAGAGAGCACGAGAAACGCAGACAGAGAGAGCGAGAAAGAGAGCACAGGGGACACACACGGCATAGCAATCCCGATTCTCTCCGCTCTCATTATGCAAACGCTTACTTCAAAGACAGCCCCTCGTAGGCAGCAATAATGCATTCTATTTCATCTACCTGGGGTGGGACGCGAGCATTGAGGACGCACAGTCAGGATGCTGCTCCCCAAGATCATGCGTCTCTCTTTGCCCCTCTCTCCCGCAATCACCACATCACACCCAAAATGTTCATTTTGAAAAGCTGACAAAAGTGTGAAGAGGCGTTTAAGGAGCGATCGAATGAGTTGATACACACACATAGACACACACAAACATGTTAACACATGCACATAACCAGCTGTCCGCTCATCCATCATGGGGGACAGGTGTAAGCAACACCAAAGTGTGTTGGGACAAAGCTGCTCCAGTGTGTGTGTGTGTGTGTGAGCTGCAGAACAGTTAAGTACCCCCTGAGGTCAGAGCAGATGCGTAACCCTACACTCCCCCTTGTCGACGAAGCCTTCCACACATCCCACTGTTTCATTTGGACCTGCTCCCACTTTGGTGTTTTCCACTGAGCGAGAGGTCCAGATAATTTCACAGCTCATAGAAAAAGCCCCGGTCTCCCCGACCATGGGAAACCGCTGGGCGAACACTGTCCTCTTTATGCAAGACCCAAAAAATTAAATCCACACACATCGCTCGCTGCGTTTGTCATCGGCAAATCTGGAAGAGGTTCGCGGGTCAAGCCTGGTCGTATAATCATGGGAACGAAAGCGGGAGCCGGCCACTACGTATGTCATAAGCTTGAGTGAAACATCTGCACCTGCAAACAAACCTGTTTTTGTCAGGTCTGTCAGGTTCAAGTCTGGTCTGGCTTGTGAGGCCACGGCTTGTTTTTGTTTCTGCATCTCATGAAGCTGTTTTGTAGGGTCTTTTGTCATAAATACATTGTGAGAACATGGCAAAAAACCGTGGGGTTGCGCTAAACTTTTACAACTGTGTCGACTAATTTATTATAGTAAGATGTATACGATATGATGACAGGTGAGACTTTATGGGATTATAATATGAGGGATTTAATTAGAGGGTTCCCAAATTCCAGTTAGTACAAGCTACAGGTCTTAAATTTCCTAGTTTTTGGCCATCATTCTTACCAGTAATAACAACATTACACATCAACCCAGCAACTTGTTTAGATCAGGGAACACAGTGATTACTAAAAATGGATCCACGCTGTCCGTTGCAAACATCAAAGACAGTTTACAGTCCCACTTTCTGGTTCCATTTTCACTTATATCCATTTCTTTTATATGTTGTGATGTAGATACTCTGGCTGAATGCTGGCTTGTTTACAACCTGTCCAACCATCTGATCGCTCCTGTTGTTTTGCATCATCAGACTTCATTGTCGCCATGTTCCAAGATCTTAGCAAGTACTAAAACACAGAAAATAAAACCTTCATTTAAGGTCGACGTGAAAACGTAAAAGGCGGGAATGTCCCTGCTCCGAATGAAGATATAAACGGCTCATTCTAAGGTTCGGAAAACACAACAGTTCTTATTTTCAAGTGATGAAACGCTAAAAATATTCTCATAAATATTATATTCCATATCTGCCAATAGATCCTCCTAAATGCTACACACTATCCCTTGAAGAAAGGAAATAAGTTTTTTTGGACTGACTCACATTGACCACTTTGACCAAACCATAAATTATACAGTATCGGACTGTACACTGGATCCTGAGGCATAATTGCTTTCGAGTTCATTATTATTTCAGCCATTGTCAATCACGGCCGTTTACTGGAAGCCAAGATTTCAATTAGCCCACTTCTAATCCTCAGTAATTAAGCCGGCTGACCTTAACACCGGATCCCTCCTGTCTGACAGTCAGTCAGTCAGTCAGTCACTGGAGCTGTGTCTTTACAGAGCCAGGGAGATGAGGAGACATGACAGACTGACAAGACTCTGTGTGTGTTGCCTGGATCTGTGTGTGTGTGTGTACTTTCCAACTGACATTTGGACTGACAGTATATCAGGGGCTATTAGCTGCTCCCAGGTGGCCTCTTAGTCCTCCACAACACAATGACTCCTCAGAGGAGTAGAGAGAGGCTAATCACTACATAAAGACTCAAGGTCTTAGATTGAGGATACGTTTGTGTGTGTGTGTGGTTTGCCTATGTGTGCATGCATAAGTTCTTACGTTCTCGATGAAGATAAAGATTAGACGCGAGCGGATAGCTTCCATCAAGGGAGGCAGGGAGGGGGAAGAAAAATGAATCAAAAATAGATGCAGGGACACAGAAGCATGAGCGCATACAGATGTGCGCGCACACAAGCACAAAGGCAACCATGTGAGACAGGAAAAATTCTGGATGGATGGAGCGGAACGGCCCAGAAGATGCTAAGAGTGGTCTGATGTGAATAATTTAGAGGCTGCTGTGTAGTGGACCTAAGAGCATATGGAGAGGGAAAGAGAGACACAGAGAGGAAAGGAACAAAGTGTGAAAAGACAGAAAGGGGGGAGAGCGAAAGAGGGGAAGAAACTTGGGAGACAAAAAAAAAACAAAGACAGACGAGACAGAGGAGAGAGGAGAGTGGAGAGGAAGCGCTGCAGACTGTGTTATTACCCCTCAGAGAGACGAGAGGGAGAGAGTGAGAGACAAGATGGTAGAACAATAGGCTGCGCGTCCTTTCCCCACGAGCATGTATACTGTAACGGCAGGCGATGTGATTATCCACACTTGAGCGGCTTCACTCGCTAAGATACTCTTGAGTTTCAAAACTACCGGTACATAATGCTCTCCTAATGGACTCCACTAACACTAACATCGCCATCTGCATTAATGGACTCTTACTAAGACTAACAAAAAAAACAACATCTACTGCAGTGGACCCGGGCTTACACTTGCACATGCTGTATATCTACGAGGAAACATCCAACAAGCCTTCGCCTCTTCTGAATAAATAGTTTTGAAGAACATTGACAGAGATGTATCACATTTGACAAACCTGATTTCGACAGGATTATATGCTATATATATATATTGTATATATATATATATATATATATATATATAAACTCTACCTTTAGAATCTATGAGGAGCCACAGGTCAGTTGACGTTAAATAACTATAATCATGTTTCCTACATTTCTTCTGCTGCATCTCTCTATGGCAATGCAGTGCATGTACACGCCGGTAGCTACCATGAATTTTGCTTAGTTTTTTTGTCTTCATTTTTAGTTTTGTTCATTACTGGAGCACTAATGACAAAATACATTCATCAACATCAGGAGAATGAACGCCACCAAACTGCCGCAGGGAGGAAAGATAGGAGATGGCGAGATGGAAGCTAAGCTAACCCAGCTAGGGCCTGAAGCTACTCCACTACCCAGCCTGCTGCTGGCTGTCTGTCTGATGCTCGGTCGCAGGAAAATAAGATGGATGAAATAAGACTTCAGGCGAACCCAGCGGCGGGAGGTTGGCGACTGTTGAGCCCACATCTTCACAGAGACCTGGCACCACCGTAGTGTCCCGGATCAGGCTGCACTTGACGGGCGGACCGCAGTACAGAGTGCAGTGGACTCTGTGTTTACATCAATGATGCTTGGTGCTCAAACATAGTCGTTGATGGACGATGTTTTAATGATTTTTTAATGAGAAGATGTCGGCCATATTATCTGACCAGCGAATTGTTTTTGTTGCTGCTATTCACATCCCTTATGATGCTAATTTAAAGAATGCACTGTTTTTTTTGTTTGTTTGTTATGTTTTCCTTGTCTTGCAAGTGGGCTACAACTGCCCTTAGTTGTGCATCCCTGTGTTGCATAACGACAATAAATGATCCTTGAATCCAAACACCTAATTACAGAGATGTCATTAGGAAAACTGTAAAGTGTGACTGCTTTGTGAGGTACTGTCACAGTAAGGTGACACACGGAAAACACATACTGAGGCCATGATGCATGTCCAGGTATCATGATTAGTAATTTGACAGCACACTGACCCCGTAGCACACTCAGTCGGGTGGAGGCAATGAGCTCTCCTGCAGAGTTGGAGGCGTGACATTCGTAAATGGCCTCGTCCCTGGGGGTCCTCAGCGGCTGGATCCGCAGGACCGAGCCGGACCCGTCGTCAAACTCTATAACCTGTTTCGAAAGGAGAAAGGCGTTTAATCAATATAATATATTAACAATGGATCAGAATGTGTAAAGTGAAAGGTGCCACTTGTAAAACGCCCATTGTACACATGTACCTCCCCATACCAGGCAACAGACAAAGCTACAGAGACTAATATTGCCCTCGGGAGTTGGAGGAGACCAAAAACAGAGCTAAAAGAGAGTGAATATTGAATTTACATTCACCAGGTGAGCAGAAACACAACTTCAAATGAATGCTAATGTTGCTCTGTGTCTGCTGCATGTTTACATGGGCAAACGTTGATATATAATGATATGCCAATGTTGTGTTAACAGCTTGTTTCTGCTGCCTCCAAAGTGTCCAAAACACCAGTAACTTTAAAAATATATATATGTTGCACCGTGGTACAGATACAGCAGCAGCAGTGGCAAGTGTGTTTAAATGTTCAGCTGAAGCATTGGACACTGACTGGTGTTGCTGTTTGTTTTTAATTTTATCTCCAACATTGTCTGCAGCTCAATAATAAAGGTCCTGTCCTAGTTTTTAATTTGCCGAGGGAAGCTGAGGGGACAGAGCCTGGGACGTATGAGAGCACTAAATCAGGTTTAAGCCGTAAACCACAAAGCATACCTGGACCCACAGTCTAGGATCAATCACTCCACACATTTAAATAGATCTCAAGTAGCACCAGAGAAGCAGTCCACTGATGATTAAAAGTAACTTTTGACAGATTCTAAAGAATAGAATAGGATAGATGGGATAGTTGAGAATAAAATTGTCCTTGATTGCCCCTCATGTCTTTTTTCATATTTACAATATGTAACAATTTGAGATGTTTTTTTTTCTGAAATACTGGATTGTACATCAGTCATTGCTCTTGCATAAGTTTAATACATGCATGTGTACCAGATCTGGATTTGGAATTCTGATAGGGTTTTCACCAACGGAAATCCAATAAAAAGAAATCCCTCAACAACTCTTGAACGACAGACAAAAAGAAATATATAGCAAGTAGCCTGAGCTTATAGAGGGTGGATTAAAAATAAAATATCTCCCCGAGTGATTTAATCACAAACAGGAACGGGCCGAGATGAACTCAAACCTGGGAGGAAACTGGACTTATTAAAGTGGAAAAGCACCCTGAGCTCTGGGTGAAACTGATTGGGGGGGGTGGGGGGTTCTCCATCATCTCCATCTAAGAGTGACTCGTGAGGCGGTGAAATAAATCAAAGGTTACTGCCTTGGGGAAACTAATAAAGCTGATCATATAAGAATCTCATATACTGTAGCCAGAGGCATCATCTGACATATGAAAGAGTTGGAGCAGATAGCATTTCACACAGTTGTATAACCTTTGGAGTACAAATGAAGAGAAGCAGGTGAACAGTTTAGCTTGGACTTCACTTCAAACACAAGACTCATTATTGACTTAAATGTCAACTTAAACTGCAATAAAAACAGTGGCAACAATACACCTTTCTCACAGCGGGCGATCTGATTTGTCGACGAAGGAAAAGCACATGTGTAACTAGCAGCATTAATGTTGGCTCTGTTCCATTTAGGAGTCAGCAAGCTAGGATAAGCTAACTGGCTCCACCTTCATATTCAACAGACAGACGCAAGAAGAAGTGGTACTGATCTCCTCCACTTTCAGCAAGAGAGCAAATAAATGTGCTCCCCAAAATGTCAAACTATTCGGTTAAACAACAGATTATCAGGGCAGTTTCTAAGGCTCTACAGCCATTATTAATGCTATGCATGTCACACCCATGGATGAACAACGACAACTGGATACAACGTTGGAGGCGGGGCCCGTTACATTTGACTTCCAAGTAAGAAATTCAGGTAAAATGATCCGGATCGTCCGGTGATCTTCTGCATCCATGGGGCCATAAAGCAAGCGCACTAGTGCTTCCTTTAACCCCGCCTCCCAGCCGTCGTTTCAGCCTCGCTCTCGGGCTCATTCACATGAGCGGAGGAAGGACATTAACTCTGGATTTGGCTATTAGTGCATTTTACAACGTTCAGGGTCTGATGATTAAAAAAGAGCTATTCAAGTGTCCATACTGACAAGTTGATTGACCTCCAAATGAATTATTTAGTTGTAATACCAGTGATGGGCCACTTTGTAAAGTTTGCTTCAAAGCCAGCCGCTCTTTACTTGGGGCTTGGTTACACTTGTGTTTTTTTGACAATCAGAATGTCTGCTGTGAGAAAGGTATTTGAAGAAAATAGAACAACAACAACCGACACCGCTGAAAACAGTCATCCTGCTTTTTCCAGACACCACTGCTTTGGTGTTTGGTGTTGTGGACACAGCGGGGTCCACACAGAGTCGGGGCTCTGTTGTGGAACGCTGAGCCATTGCCATTTCGGTACGAGAAGAAGTCCGTACTATCATACAAAAAAAAACAACAACAACAGAAAGTTACACTTCCTTCATCAGCATCTCAGCATCATACCTCAAATCTCTGGTTGCTGACTTTTTTGCCTTTCTTGTTCCAGACAATCTTGGGCTGTGGCTCCCCCGTGGCCTGGCACACAAAGGAGGCCACTCCCCCCTGGACTCCTGTCTGATCTTCGGGGGTTCGCGTAAACCTGGGGGGTGCTGTGTAGAAACGCGTATAAAGTTAGTTTGTGTCGATGCTCTTGACATGACAATCATTCATTCTATACCAACAAGCATTGACGCATGCATGCACATATTCTCTAATGGATTATTGTGCTTTTTCTAAATGCACTTAAACGTCATATTTCCACTTGATATGCCACCATAATCTGTTATTCACACATCTGTAATGTTGGAGACCTCTGCGTGGTGTGTGAAAGGGAATGCCAGATATGTGTGTGTGTGTGTGTGTGTATGTGGACACTTTAGTTGAAAAAAGAGGCGGGACAATGATGCAGTTTTAGGAACATTCCAAATGAAAACATATCAGAACAGTGACAGTGTGAATTCTTGGAGTACACACGCATCTATACATCTGTCTGTCAGTGCATGCGGGTGGCTTTGTGCATCTTTCTTTCTTTTTCTGTACACGTGTGTGCACGTTCCACCATGTTTCCCCCACTGTCCATGTACCACCAAAGAAGCTTAATATTTCTGTGCCATAAAGGATTTATGAAGACTTACTCCTGACATGACCACTAAAGCCCCTCATTCCGGGGACGCCAACAATATCATAACCACAGCCTACCGCTGGATTGTGACATCACGACATCAAAAAGATTCGGCACGTCAGTCACGGCACGTCACCGCCAGCTCGCCTAATGGCATTCCAGCCAAACCAGAAAATCCCTACTTAAGGGCTTACCGCCAACCGCCCTGACAAAGGGAGAGAAATTGCTTTTTGCTGTTTTAAAAGGAGGGAGGGAGAAAGGCAGAAAAAGCTAAGCTTTTCAGAGGAGGAGAGAAAAAAACGATGAAACGTTGAAAGAGCGGGGGGGAGCTCGAGCAGAAGAGCGGGGGAGATAAAGAGAATGCGTGCGAGAGAGAGAGAGACAGATGGAGAGGGGAATGGGTGAGGGAGAGAGAGTGAGCATGAGCGGCAGAAGTGCAGGGAGAGAGGAAGAAGAGCAGGAGGTGGAGAGAGAGAGGGAGAGACAGATGGAGACAAGAGAGATAAAGTCAGCGAGAGCGAGCCAGATGTACCAGCAAACATGGTCGGAGAGCCCCGAGCTGCCCGATCACCTCCACACTTCGCTGGCTCACGGCCAAATCTACCTCAACAACTGAGTAGAACAGTGTGTGTGAGAGAGTGTGTGTGTGAGTGTTTATGCTTATTTTCCGTCCTTGCATATGGCATTTAACGTGTATACACACTTCCAAGATGAGTCGATTGACAATTATGGACAACAATTTTGATTAACGATTAATTGATGAATGTCAACACAACACAACACAACAAGCTATTTGAAGACGTCCCATCGGGCAAACGTTTTTATTCTATCATTGATCAGTCAAAAAAAAAAAACTAGACTAGAACAGTTGCGGGCCCTAATGCTGCACGCGATTTCTACGTGCACGCCATTGCGGCGTACATTTGTGCGTGACGAGTGAGCCACTGTGTGCGTGTGTGCCCATCTGAGAGAGAGAGAGAGAGAGAGAGAGAGAGAGAGAGAGAGAGAGAGGGAAAAGAGAGTGAGAGGGAAACAGAAAGAATGAAGAGAGGGAGAATTGCTCTATTAATCCTCTTGCTAATCTCTCCCTCACAAAACAAATGAAAAGTGTAAAGCCAGCGGAGCCATGCTAAAATGCACGGTAGATCTTTCAATTGCTTTAAAAAGAAGAAGATCTTTCCCTCCCTTCTCTTCATCTCTCTAACCAGATTCCTCTCTTCATGCCTCTCCTGTTTAATTGTCTTACGTTCCCTCTTTCTCATATGTTGCCCCTTTATCTTTTTACTCGCTTCTAATTCTTTGCCACTGAATCACTCCCCCCCCCCCCCCCCCCCCCCCCCCCCACACACACTATCCTTCACAGCTGCTCTCCTTGCTCCCTCTTTCATCCTCCTCCTTGTTACTCTTTCTCCATCTCCTCCCTCCGTCTCTGGGGTGTTACATAAGCCTTCCTGTCACATTGACTGACTTAATGAGGTAAAGTGGTGGTGGTGGTGGTGGTGGTGGTGGTGGGGGGGTGGGTGCAACCGTATGCTCCGCACTTCCCCCCTTATTTTTTTCCTCCCCCCCTCTATTTACGGCCCTCGTCTCTCCCTTCCCTTCCTTCGCTACTTTCTCTCCATGTTCAGACTCCCTCTTCCATCCCCGCACCACATCTCCGCTCTCTATTGACGCTGCTAACTGTTCTAATCAGGGTCGTTTGGTGGGATTAAGCATTGACATTTGGGCCGAGGAAGGGAGCGACCGAGCTCAAAAGGGCATTTCAATATTCGTAGCCCTTTTAATCGGACAGGAGGGACGGCTGCAGGTTTATTATTATTTCATGGATTTCAGATTTAAATAAATAAATAAATAAGATGGGCTTGGAAAATTCGCACAAGATCTTGTTCTACGAGGGGGCACTTTGTAGCAGTCACATGCTTAGGTGCTCCTCACAGCCGTCCTCTTTTCCCTCAATATGACCCAAGATGGAAGTGAGGGGGAAACTACCGAGTGGATCCACGGAGAGAGATTTAGATGGAATTAGACAGAGCCAATCTTTCCCCTCTCGATGTGTGTGTGTGTGTGTGTGTGTGTGTGTGTGTGTGTGTATGGGGTGGATGGAGGGCGGCCTACATAAAGGTCGCCATACAGTGGGATCTGATCTACACAACAGATGGCAGGGATTACAAAGTCAGCCCCCCCCAGGACCACTTTCGAGTCACGGCTGAAGACGTGTAATGAACTTTGATACCGGGAAGAGAGATCTTTATGTCTTTTTGAAAAGAAGAAATAGAAAGAGTGTGTTTGGGTAGCATTGAATGATGGTGGCCTAGAATAAAAAAAGTGACCACATAGATAATGTGGACTTCTGACATACAGGTAAAAATTAGACTGGTGACAGATTCTGCTATGATTCTCTTCCAAATGTTTTTCTTTTTCAACATTTTAGTTTAGTTAACTGTGACAAATGTGACCATTCCTGGGTAAACTCCCCTCGAATGAACCTGCAAACCGTAATGGGGCTACGGAGGTTCACTGGAGTAGCTGAAAAAGCCAAACAGAGAGACTGTATGAAGCTAATGACACTTTGTAGGAGGCTACAGGGACGTACTGTAGCTGACAGATGCTGTCTTAACCTAGAGGGACACTGCGAGAGGGAGGGAGTTTGTAAGAACAGATGCTGGCACAAACCTTCGGGGAGTATGATTTACGAATATAGAGTATTAAGATCGGAAAATTGTATGAATTGATGAATGGAAAGTATATATTTGGGAGTTTTAACAGATGGAGCTGAGCTCAAAAGATGCATGTCTTAGGTTGTTGAAGTAGCCTATAGTTTTTAAAGTTCCCATATGGGGTTTCTATACTTTTTTACAACGCAGAAAGAATATAAGATTTGTATTTGATGGCAATTTAGATTTAGAAAAAGTGACGTTTTATTTTTTTTATGCTATTTGATTTGAAATATGCTGTTCTCTGACTATAAATGTCCACTAAGTGAAATAATAATCAAACAGGACATTTCTGTTATTTTTCCTGGGATGCATTAAGTGATCTAAACTCACAGATCTCTTCCAAAACATTGCAATTCATGTGCCCTCATGCCTCATCTTGTGTGCCCTCAATCACTTAGCTGATGTGAAAAAGCATAAAGCAGACCAGCCTTTCCCAATAAAGCAAATCAACCAGAAGCAATGGACTCAGCAGCACAAAATGGACCCACTCTGTCTGATACTGCAGCTGACAATGTTGCAAATTGGGGGAAAAAAAGCAGCTCTGAGATGCTTAAATACCGACGAAGTAAAGAATCACAGATAGGAATATAGAATCAGTAATTATTGAATCTTTAGATCATCCCTTTTTTTGGAGGAAGGGGATAATTGGTTACAGAACTTCCTGATCAGAAAGATATCTTGCCAAGCATCTGTGCCTGCGCCTCACATTTTCCTGTGTAATGTGCTCATGTCGATAGTTAGGCACGTAATGGGCAATTTACGGCCCTTGCCAGGAGAAGATCAAGCTGCATGGTGTTGCATGTGGTGGTGGGCGGTTGGCTGATGACTCCCCAAATGAGAACAGAGTCAGGCTTGTCAGACAAGTTGAGGAACGAGGCCAATATCGAGACCTGAGCCAGGGCCGCGATAGTCAGCCCCGGAGAGTGGGCGGGCAGCTGGCCAGGGCCATAACTTACAACATTAACATCAGAACCGACACATTAAGAGCAAATTATCAGCCGCTCGCATTCGTCCTGGGAATGAAACTGGATTGCTGGGGCCAATGAACACGGAGACACAGCTATCATCCTTCTGCAGCACACATGAGTGTCAATCGGAAAACATTTGGGTAAAAATGGGCCGTTTCAACGTAGGAAATGAAATTATGCACAATTAAGCACCGTAACTTTTGATAAATCTTCCCATTAAAGACGAGATGTTGAAGTTTCATAGAGTTTAAGTGTCCGTCTGTGTCTCAGCCAAATCTGGAGGACAGTTTTCCTCTCATGTAAAATTGCGTGCTTATGACTTGTACTTTGTCACTGTATGCAAATCCTCAGTTGTCACTTTCACAATGACGCAATAGCAAAACAATAAAATGCACTTTTACCGCCAATTGGAATGCATGTCCAATTAGCATGCCTCTTACCCACCACGGCTGCCCCCAGGGTCTGGCTAGTGCAGAGTTAATCAGGGTTAATTTGTTAGAAACACAAGGGGAGGAATTAATCAAATGGGGTCTTCTTTTATACACAGATCATTAGAAACACATGGGCTACCCACTGGGTACACAACTTTACTGGGTCAGGGCTGGCTTCCCATAGAGACCATAGAGGGTTTTCTCAGCGCCGGTCACAGCGCGTTACTCACACTCCGTCGCTCTGCTAAGTCAGAGCTAGGCTGATGCTATCCAGGCCTCTTCACAGACGGGTGCACCTGCTAAGCTAACGCTAAGCTAACGCTGGTCAGATCCTGTTACCCACGGATGGGCGCACAGCTATGCTAGCCGCTA